GGGAACGAGCTTAGCTGCAGCATAGGCTCTGGTTAGTGAAGTACTCAGTCTTCTCTTGACCATTGCTTCAATGTTTTCACCTTTAAAATCAAGTTGAATGTAGATTGGCTTTTTCTTCACTGTTATTTGTCTTACATTTGTGACTTCAGATCTTCCATACTTGTTAGTGAATCTTTGAGGGTAACTATTGCTGTTCAACATCTTTTCAAGAAACACAAATTCTTCCTCTAATTTCTCTATAGAGCATATTCTTCTCGCTATTTGGACAAAAACTATTAAAATGTAAATATTGTCCTTTCCAAGCAGACTTTCGACAAACTGACTTCTGTAGAATACCGTCTTCTAGGCGTTGCATGGCCATGCTGAGGAAGTGGAACTTTCCATCACTTTCAGGTTCCATAGCAAACTCAATATTAGTATGTGCATCATTGAATAATCTGAGTTATTTCGTCGATTGCATGCTTCAACTTTGTGCTTTCAAGGTTGGACATAAGAAAGCGGGCATGAGACTGCGTCAGTGGCACAGTGGTAGGATGCTCACCAACCACACAAGTGGTTCGGGTTTCGATCCCCGACCAACGCACTCCTGTACCTCACTAAGTCAGAAATAAGACTGGTAAAGAGGGGAGGTGGGGCATGAGGCTAGCAACCCCATCCCGTAAAAAATAAATACGACTGCTACTAAAATTTCAGGCCTCTAGCTTACAGCCGTATATTCCACTGGGAACGTAAGGGAATAAAAAAATAATAGTAAAGACAAGTATAAATACACAGCCGCATTATAAATAAGTCAGTTAAAATGAGTTGTCAAAATAATGTAAGCGAAGTGGTGCACCTTTTTGAAATATTAACTGGAAAGTAACTAGTTCTCTCTAACAGTGAACCTCTGAAGTGATTGAATAAGACGTAAGCAAGAAAATACGTATTTTCGGTAAATTCTTACCAGGCTTTGCAATCACACTATAAAATATCAATCAGTTATAGACATTTAAAACAATGTAGATCAGGTAAAATTTTACCTGTTTACGATGGCCATAGCAGGGACAGGGGTTGGACGTATTTCTTTTGGATACAAAGAGTGGGTTTGAGTTTTTGGATAGCTAACGCCTCAGCTATGCCCAAATGTCTTGATTTCACTCCCTTTGATAGGTTTGATTGAATCTTGTAAATTACTTTGAAGGACTTTTCGAAAGGCGCTGAATGTCCTGAGTTGACCAGATGTTCTGTCACTGAACTGTATACACGTTTTTGCTCTCCTTTTACCAGCCAGGCTGGGTAGTGTTCACGAGCGCGTTTTCCAAGTTGGCGCATGGTACGGCCGATGTACTCAGCTCCACAAGAGCAAGTGAACTGGTATATGCATGTTGAGGTGGCCCAATGCGACAGCTTGTCTTTCGCGTTCTGGTTGAACAGTTTCTTGCAGGAAAACGTCAGTCGTAGGCTTGCGGTGAAGTATGTTTTCCTCAGCGACTTGGAGAGGCGTTTGCGAAGGATTTCTGCTTCGATATCACCTTTGAATTATAGATTAAGCAGAAGTATTTTCTTTGGGACGGATTGGACTTGTTCAGAAGTCTTCTGCGGTTTGAGATTCTTGTCTATGAACCATCGCCTTTCTTATCTAAACTTCCTGTTTATTCATGTTATTTTAAGTTTTCTTAATCCCTGTCTACACTAACATATTTTCATATCCACACTTCCTGTTTATTTTGTCATTTTATTATTTCTACATATTTAATCCCTGATTGCATAAACAATTATTCACCACACTAGTTTCTTATCCAAACATCCTGTATATTTTGTTATTTTTACATTTCTAACCCCCAATTGCACAATGTCAATCTTCTTAGTTATTATGCTACTTTGTTCGAGTTTTATCCGCCCCCCTGTTTATGATGGCATTCTAATTCCTAATTGTAATTTTTATTAATTTAACCCCTAACCAGAAATTGTTCTGGAACTTTCCCATCCATTTGATATAAATACACGAATGTACAGCCTAGATGATGACTTCGTCGAAAAGAAAATTTTCTTCGCTGCAACTGTCTTTCTATTCCCTATGAACAATGTAGATCGATAGAATCAAATATAATCAAGGAGAATGTAGGTAGAGTAATTATAATAAATTGTGAAACCAAGATCAAGATATGAAACTATAAGTCAGTATGATACTGACAATGATGTTAGCAGTACAAATAAAAATAATATTTACAGTTATCTGGTGTCATCCTGGTAAGTGTTCTAAGTTAGGCTTGAAGGCCACGCCATGGGAGGGTGAAGGATTGGATAGACCTTTTCTGAACACAAAGATTGAGCTGGAAAATTTTTGTGGCGACTACCTTGACTATGCTTGGTAATCGAAGACCTGCAAACTTGGAGAATTAATGTGGCACCTTGTATAAAAATGTAAAGGCTGACCGTTTTTATCAGTCTTGTGGTCCATATCCACAAGTTGTACTAACATGGAACTCCTGTCTGACTTTACTGCTGCTTTATCTAACCACGTTGGACAATGATGAAGAAGGTGACGGTCGGCTCGATGAGTTGTACTACCTATGCATCTGTCTCCAAATGAACAGTTAAAATTTTTAATGTACACTGAGGTGGTAAGACTCGGTAGCTTATCCTTCACCTACAACGACTGGTGAATTCTAAGCATTGTGTTGCAGCGAAGAATGTTTAAGCGATTATTTTTCGGAGTTTCGATGCCAGTAATTCAGTCGGTGTGTATCCCTATATTTTCCTTGATTATATTTGATTCTATTGATCCCCATTGTTTTAAATGTCTGTGACTGGTATTTTATTATGTCACTGTGAGGTCTTATGAGAATTTTCCGAAAAAAAGTATTTTCTTGCTTAAATCGTGTTCTAAAATTATCTTAGTGGGTATAATTGAGTAACTGATTGATATATAAGAAACTCTAGACAAAAGTAACAGTGTAAATGTATACGTAATTTAATCTCGACGAATGAATGTGCCTGAGACACTACAAAACCATTTACTGTGGACTACTGATAAAAATCAGTTTAGGTAATGCAATAACTTTCACAGTTGGATGCCGATACATACAAAACGAAACCTGATCCATTCATTGAGCCATAGAATCCGCAGTATTTGCAGCCCTGATACCTTAGAAGAGGAACTAAACACTCTTAAGAGAATTCTCTCAGAAAGCGTCTACCCAGAACGTTTCTTCACAAAATCTATGATACCTAAACCACTAAAACCGCCCACACTCTCTGCTCCCAAAAAACCTCGCTACATTAATCTACAATTCAGTGGCGACTCATCAGCAGAAATACTGAGAAACCATCTGTTCTGCTCATTGGAGAAAACTCCGTCTAACCTTCTCTACGAAACCAATGATTTGCATGACCATGAAGGATAAGCTACCACTGTGGGCCTCATCAGTGTGCATCTACCAATTCGCCTGCTTGTATGTCGACAGCACCGAGCGTTCGCTATCTAAACGTAGCATCGAACACTTACCTTCATGATTTTATAGAGGAGAGAAAAATATTCTCGCCCCCACAGATCTATCTTGGAACACCTTATTGAATCTACACACCTAGCTAACCCATATACTCACTTCAAAGTCGTCTACAGAATACGCGAGAATTTAGCTAAAAGAGTACGAACCAAACTTTTTCAAACCGCAGAAAGAATGGTAATTCACATGTTAAGTCCTGAACTCTACATACAAAAGAAGCTTGTTCAATTATTAAATCTACAGTGGAACTGATATCCTGATATCAAATACCTAATTTTTGTTTCGTCTTTTTCTTGCTTGTTTGTTTTTTAATCGTAAAATATTTCCTTCTCCAACCTCTTATTAGATCTCTACTCCTTACTACCACTGTTGTTTATCCATCATTTGTTCAATTTTAATTTTAGCTGGGCTCTACTGAACTCCGTCAGTTAGATAACGCCACCCAACTTGCTTATTTAACCTAAATTTTACAATTCTAATAATAATAACAATAATAGTAATTATAATAATAATAAGCAGTGGCAATTCACATATTGAATCCTGAACTCTGCATACAAAAGAAGTTTGTTCAGTCACTAAATCTATAATGGTCCTGATCTATCTAAACACCAAATACGTAATTTTGTCTTACCTATTTCTTCTTTGTTTGTCTGTTTCTTAATTGCATTATTTTCTACCCCCACCCTCTATTAAATCTCTACCCTCATGACGACTGTTGCTAACTCCATTTTCGTTTATTTTCAAGTGAATTCTACTCAGATTATTAACTTGACTCTCATTCATTTTTCATTGAACCCTATCAATTAGATTACGTCACCCAACCTACTTTTGTAACTTTATTTTAGTTTCTAACCGATTAACGCCTTCTAAATTACGTAGTTTGCTGTCAAAAATTAACAATTGCATTAACACATCTTTGAAATATTTATTTTGTTGCTAAGAGAATTAACTACATATATATGCGGTTGTACAGCTTGAGAATAATATCACCGAAAGGAGTAACTCTTCGCGGAACACCTTTTCTTTCATATGAATCAGTAGGAATTTTTACGTTGCTTAATAACAAGATGTCAGCTGAAATTACATGAAGAGCCTCACAAATGATGAGGTTTCCGAAAAAAGACACGCAGAAAGCAAAGAGATGAGAGAGTATATAAAGGAAGACCACATTCTATTTAAATTGAACTTTCAGTGTAAAGTTTGCATGTTTTATCAGCACTCAATGTAATTCTCTTGATATAAACACTCTTTAAACTGCGTCGCAAATATTTTTTTTAATATCACCAATGAATTTGGATGACGTGTTCACTTATTCTTGGTACCATGGATCTGTGTAAATATTTACTGATGATATTTGATACCTTAGTATTAAAATTAAGTGAATAAAAGCAAAATCAATAAAGAACAAATTTGATACTCTTCTTTTCGCCTGAATCATTATATTAACAGTAAATATATAAGGTGAAATAATAATTACAAATATAATCTTATGAGAGAAACCCTAGGAAAAAGATGAGTACCTTGTTCTGCCTACTAATCTTATCCAGCTTACTATATGAAAATGAGTCAGGAAAGCGTAAGTTCCAAGATATTTTGAAATAAATATAAAATCTCCCACCTCATATTCTAAGCTTTTATCGAGTCAAGTAATGCAACATCATGTACATGATTCAAAAACCAAAAGTCAAACGGCAGGACCACTTAAACAATAAGCTGAGAACAGCTTAATACTGGAAGCAACATTTTATTAATCAATAATATGGCTTACTAAGAAGTAGTTCAGTTAAATGTATACTTAGCTTAGAATGCTTCCTAATATTTTGAGCTGTTAGCTGTCATTTTTCCGCTAGAGTTTACTTTTATTCCTTTTTTTGTATTCCTTTACATTTCAAGGGGAACATAAAGCCACAAGCGCTGAAGTTTTAGTAGTGGTGGTATTGTTTGTGATGGGGTGAGGTTGTAACTTAGCTTCACTCCCTACCTTCCCTCCTTTCTTGACTTACTGACATTTAGTAAGCTAGGTGGGGGTTAGGATAGAGTCGGCTAGAAATTGAATTCGGATATGCCACGTGACGGGCAAGCATTCTGCTATTGAACAACAGACGTAGAAGAGTTTATCACATAATTTAAAAGTGACAATGAATGTTAATAAGTAGAGGTTAGAGAATATTGATATGGAATAATAGTTGTATTATTATTATTGTTTCCTTTAATTACTAGAGGAAGATAGGGCTTCAGCCACGCGTCTCCATTGCGTTCGGTTCTCTGCTAGAGTCTTCATCTGGCTCCATGTCTGCCCACACGCTTTCATCTCCTCTCCACATGACCTCCTCCAAGTCAGCTTCGTCCTGACAACCAACTCCCCGATTCTCGTTCGGGTTCCACTCGAGCGATGGCTTGTCTAGTGATGTCACTTGATGGTTTCCTCAGAGTATGGCCAATCCATCTCCATTTCTTCCTGCCTATTTGTTTCACAATCGGTTCCTCCTGGGTTGGTTCGCTCCCAGAGATCTCTGTTGCTGATCTTTTCTGGCTGGCCATCTGATCTTGAGTATTGAGCGAAGACAGCTGTCAATGAAGGTCTGTAGTTTGTTTGAGATGCTCTCTATGACGCGCAGTGCAAGTCTGTGGTCCGTATAGTAGCAGTGACTGACTTCACATTGGAGTTGAATATCCGGATCTCATTTTTGATGCTGAGTGCTGTTGACCTCCACACAGACTTGAGAGTAGTGAGAGCTTGTCTTGCTTTTTCGATTCTTCCTTTGATATCCTCGTCAGTTCCGCCTGTAATTGAAACGATGCTTCCCAGGTAGGTGAAAGAGGTTGTTTTTTTCAGGTTCCTCCCATTTATGTTGATCGTTGTCTGTTGTTGTTGCTGTTGCTGTTGCCAAAAGTGCTGAAGTTTTAGTAGTGGTGGTATTCTTTTTCATGAGTGAGGTTGCAAGTTAGCTTCACTTCCTACCTTCCCTCCTTTCGTGACTTATTGCCATCTAGTAAGCTAGGTGAGGTTGAGGACAGAGTCGGACATGCCACGTGACAGGCAAGCATTCTACTGTTGAACAACAGACGTAGAAGAGTTTATCACATCATTTAAAAGTGATATTGAATATTAATAAGTAGAGTTTAGAGGATATTGATATGAAATAATAATTGTTATAATAATCATATATTGAATGATTTGGAAATCTTGACGAAATCACTCATATCCATAAGGTGTGTGTTGATTGCATTTTACGACTATCTGTTTCCTTAGAGGCGTATGTTTGTTGGGATAGGCTCAGAAAAAGAGATAAAAGTCTTTATTTCTGTCCCTTCAATGTACTTGCTGTCGCAAATGCACACAAATTTATGAAGGTGATCGTAGGTAACATTAGCAGGGTACTTATCCCGTATAGTTTGGCTCATAGAGCATGTGGTGCTGTATAGTGTTGCGAGCTCACCTGAAGGGAGGCTTCTTTTTATTGCCCCTTCCATTTTCTTGTCATCCTTTTGTGATACTGCTTCTCCCTTGAATTGGAGACAAATCAACACTTTCTTCTTTTCAGCAGCTGGGTGCTTCATTTTCTCATCACTTTCTTTGCTGTACTTTTGGATAAATCCCTTTGGATATCTTTTTTTCCCTAAGGCACTGTCGTACTCTGTCTTCGTTAATCCATTATGGATAAGATTTTAATTTGATAAAATCACACAGTGTTGCTGTACAGTAATATTAACTGATGACGTTTCGAGCATAAACTATTGCTCATAATCATATTAAGTTACTCACACAACTTCTTTCCTTCATTTATATACATGTGTGGAATCGATTAGATATTGGAATAAAATTCAATATGAGATAATGTACATTCAGAAATAATAATACGAGTGTTACTGATCAATTACAATTAGAAGGGAAATAAGACGAGTGTTTCTATAGTCATAATAAGTTACTTGTTAGAATGTTTTGATTTGTTTGAATTGAAGTAGAATTTTATGATTATTTATTATCCTCCCCTGATATGACTGGTGGCAGTGATACGAGGTCAAATTTTTGAGAGAATACCACCCTTGATTTCTATAATTCCACGTCTATATAGTCTCCTGAAGGTGAATAAACAAAACGTAGAACTATATGTCATATGAAATATGGTCTTCCTCTACGAAGACTTATCAATAAACTCACTCGACTTTCACGAACTGAAGCAAGATATGAAAATCATCGTATTTTCAACATTCGATGCTGGAATAAAGCAAATTATTATTATTATTAAAAAATGAAATCATTCCTAAATATTTACGTCTACGAGCTCCAGTTCCAACGGACAGAGTTAGAAGCAGAATAGAAGGCCTACAAAAATTATGCCTCAAAGAAGAGATCCACAGAATCGTTAAAAAATTGCAACATATCAGATCTGAAATTGAGCAATTACAACAAAAGCTAATGGGAACAGTTGCCAATGTAGATTATGATCTTATAACACAATCCTTCAGTAATGCAAAATCAGAAACTTTCAAAAAGTCAAAATATAGTCAAATCAAAAAGTTCAACAAATTATTAGAAGAGAAATCTTCATTTCAGAATGATGAAGTCAACAATCCAAAGTCAACGGCGATTGGAAAAACGTAGAACTGTATCCAGTTTATAGTATGAACAGCTCACATCATCCGACTATTACCGAATGGCTCACAGAAGCGCCTATATCATTTAGAAGTCATCTCAGTCATCATAAAGGGTGTTAGATGCATTCTCATTCGTCAATGTATATCGAGTCACAATGATGTTTTTAGACGTTACCTGTTTCTTCAGTAAAATCCCTTTCACGGAAAACTGTTTACTTTCTCTGTATCTTCATCGTTAATAATAATCTAGATGTGTCTTCCGATCCACTATTTCAAAGAACTCTTGCTGAAATGAAATTTCAACATTCAGTTCAAGACAAGATGATGGAGTGGCTGTAGGATTACCCTTCGGTTCTCTAATTGCATATTGCTTCGTGGCAAGTCCTAAAAATGGCGTTTTAGGATGCACTACTAAGAATTTCCATATGAACAAAACATTAGTGGATGATGCATTTGTAATATATGTAAACATGCCGACATTGAAGCAATTATGGAGTTAAATAACTACTGTGGTTGAGTCAGCTACACAACAAAATCCAAGATATAACCATGAATATCATTTTGCTTACTTAAATGTTTTCAATTTCATTTTTGAATATTTCGTTTGAAAGTAGATCTGGGTGATTAGTCTTACATCACACTGACGTGGAATAGTTATCACATGAACTCCCTCGATTGGATCTCTTTAAGTAGAAAAAGAGAGATCAGACTCATTCTTTATCTTCAATAATTAGAAGAATCTGAATGAATGGTGCCATCAGTGACGATCTAGAAAGACTGTAACAGTCCAGAAGAATTCTCACAGCTGTGGAGAAGTAGCTATTTATGAATGTTGAACTTTTTCGTTGAGATACAGTAAATAATCATTGGATGCGTGAGAGACAGCATACGCTTTAGAAATCTCTTCAGTATACGTTTACAAAGTCACTTGCTCGTGCAGAGATAGTTGTATAACAGAGACACAAAGCGTGCGTTTTAAAAATGCATTTCACAAAACTGTCCGGTATTGTCATCAAGAGAATCTTACAAGTGAAGCCTCGTCTCTATTGTAGGGCATATAATGAATTCAGATTACTCAACTCCATCGGAAACCACTTTTAAAATTTCGATAAAGAAAGGAAGACGAAATTTGCAGTATAAAATGATATCATTCTATTTCACAGGTTCTCATCAGCTGCAGACTACCTGAAATTACAATGGTTATATAAATGATAATAACATACTTTAATGTTTGATTAGTAGTAGAGAAGAGATAAAATTGACGCATCCAAAAAAGAATGAAAGCATTACAATTTTTAGTTTAAGTTATCATCATCAATTTATACACTTTCAGAGTTGAAAAGAGGGGGTAGGGGTAAGACAGAAAATAGAAAAATTGATTAACAGAAGCAGTGTTAGCTTGTAGGTTCACATGGCAACTCCAAAAAACAAACACATTTACAGTTTATAAGATTGAGATATGCTCAGAAAGAGAGTGTGATTAACCTCTCACTCCCTTGGTAACTAAATTTTGATTTTGATTAGTCATCAGTGATCTCAACTCACTGAGCAAATCTCAATCTTATAAACTGTTAATGCGTTTGTTTTTTGGAGTTGCCATGTGAACCTACAAGCTAACACTGCTTCTGTTAATCAATTTTTCTATTTTCTGTCTTACCCCTACCCCCTCTTTTCAACTCTGAAAGTGTATAAATTGATGATGATAACTTAAACTAAAAATTGTAATGCTTTCATTCTTTTTTGGATGCGTCAATTTTATCTCTTCTCTACTACTAATCAAACATTAAAGTATGTTATTATCATTTATATAACCATTGTAATTTCAGGTAGTCTGCAGCTGATGAGAACCTGTGAAATAGAATGATATCATTTTATACTGCAAATTTCGTCTTCCTTTCTTTATCGAAATTTATCAAGGGAACTTTTAAAATTATCGATAAAGATGAAACAAAACAAAAGGGTATTAGGTTTCTACACGTGTGCATAGCGATTTGTCAACTCTCTAACTAAAAACTGTTTGGAAAAGCCCTCCTCTACGATCTAGCCACAGGATTTATTCCTACTTTGACGTTTCAATGAACAATGCAATTATCACCGATTTTTCTCCTAGACTATATATGATTATTTTAACATTTGAATATCACATGTTGACTTGATTCTTATTATTTGTCTATTTTCCCATTTATTCTCCATTTCTAATGTTTCTCTTTGTGGTTGTATGTGAAATGATAGTGTGTTGAAAGATCTGATGGTGTTTGATTGAGTAAAGTTCATTTCTAACCTTGAACTGTCCACGGTTAGCGTTGGTGTGCTATTCTTGTGGAGAGAGATTTTGATCCCAACGTTTTGGGAATATTCTGCTGGATTCTAAGTACTTGTTCTGCACTTAGACTGTACTATATAGCTGCCTAACGGCACTGTTGAAGTAATTTTGAGTATTCGTTGTTACTACCATTTAATAGAACCGCAACATTATTCTAGAATAATCGCCCTTCCCCTATCTTTGGAGCAGTTCGTGACTGGATGTGTCTTAAGGAAGCTTCTCCAGCTATACAGTAGGATGTAGAGAAGGGTTTTCGGAGCCCAGACTGTGACGAACTGGTTTTGCACACAACAAGCTCAAAACCGAACTCTTAATGCACGGAAGGTGTTTTTTACTGAGTCTTTTTCTGCTACGGTTTTAAATTCCTCTTCTGTTTTTGCTTCAGTTTTTAGTCAGTAATTCAATATTATCACTCTAATACTTTGTTTTTATACTTTTCATCAGTTATATTCCTCTCACTTTCTTCATACTCATAAAGTGGACACTTAACCACCTTGGCCCTCTCTCTCTCTCACAATCCTTACTTCCACTATGTCGTTGATTATTGGGTAATGTGTTTTCTTATCTTTAGAAATCACTTCTGGGTACCATTCAGAAATCACTCACGAGGTGTGCAACATAGATGGCACTGAAATAGAAACCAAGTCGGAAATCAAATACCTAGGCGTCAGTCTATCTGCTGATCTTTCCTTGTCGTCTCATATCTTGACGATTTCTAAGAAAATATTCCGTCTTACCTTCTACATCAAGAAGTTAAGACATTCTGGATTAACCCAACCCATACTCCTACAATTCGTTAACTCTCGCATTCTGCCAATTATTCTCCATTGTTCCTCCTGTTTTTCCCGGGCTACTGAAGAAAGAGTGTACCTTATCACGCAGGATTTTAAAGGTTGTCAGCAGGGTAAGCAACGTGCCACTTAACCAGCTTGTTAATATTCTGATTGACAGGCACATGGACTCATGTGAAAAATGGGCCAAATCCATTCTGTCTAACTCACACCACCCTCTTCACTCACAACTCTCCCCTTGTATCTCATCAGGCAAAACCAGAAGCCTATATAGAAAACTATATGCTCACACCAGCCAGTACAAAAACTCAACCATACCCTACTTAGCTCGTGTTCTGTGCGATAAAGAAAGCATTAGGCATGACACCTATAACTTATTAAATAGTCAGTAGTACAACTGGACCTCATCTTTCCAACTCATATCATTTATAGGTACAACATTTTCTTTCTTTCTTTTTCAATTCTCTCTCTCTTTTTTTCCGTTATGTGCTGCTCTATTTCTTTATTCCACTCACGCCAGTAAATATGATAGCATCTACTTTTCTAACACCTTCAAACACTGTTCAACTTTGGCTTTGCTATCGACATGGCAGTGTGTTGTTGTCATAGTGAACTTAGATTTCCTTTATCTGTGTAGAATTTTATTTATCGATAATGTACTAACTGGATGCAATACTGTAGTGAAATGCAGAGAATTCCATTCTGTATCACAAGTACTGTTTTGGAATAAAGCAAATTATTATTTTTATTATTAATCATCTCGGTCATTATGCAGTGTCAGGCTCATTCTGATTCGTCAAATGAACTACTTATGTCACTCCATCCTATTACTCAATAAGAGACTGTTATACGTTTTAGTAAACACAAATACCATTGTACAGCCTTTGGAAATCACTTCATCGAGGACGAAAATTTTCTTCACTGAGTTGTCTTCTATTCCAATGAATTTCATTACTCGCCATCATTTGCCGCATAACACCAAGTTTAAATCAAATACATCGCTGAAACATTCGTTCTTAAAACCGATATGCTGAAAGGATAAAGAACCATTTCGGTCCAGTAGAAATAAGTAATGAGAAATACTGCCATTCCAATAAAGCTGGCGAAAAGCGGCATTTATGTAAGAAATCGTTAGCTGAACACTAGATACACATGATGAAGTGTGTATACTGGAAACACCAAAAGATATTTAAAGTCACTCAGTTAGACCTACCTACAAGTTACTTGAAACAATTAAAAGCGACTGACTGACTGGTTTCAACATAGAACTTTGCACAGATATGCAGCATTTTGATTTGTCACAATCCACGTAGCACAGAAAGCAAGAGAAGAGAGTAGAGAGAAAGTGATTCGAAAAAGAGATAATAAACAGAAACACGAGGCAAAACGAATAGTAATACAGAAGAACAATAGAATTTTACTGGATATTATAAATCACAAAGAGGGAATGCATCAGCGCTATTGAGAATGAGGATTTTGAGCCATGTCATCAACTGTCTCCAGCCTTTATTGGTTTTACCAACCCGAGGATCCCAACCAGTCAGGAAGTCTACACCTCCTCACGTGACTGGCTGGTTTAAACTAACTGTTGTGGATTTCACTGACTGATGAAGCCATCTTTCTGTTTGACCATCATTAGCTCCTTTCCAACCTGATCCTATGTCAGCTAACAGTGCCTGTCGAGGGAGGCAATGGCTAGGCATACGTAAAGCATATCCTAGGCATCTCAATCGATGTAGCTACACAACCTCATCGACTGGTATTTCTTCCTTACCTAACAGTCGACGCCTAATCTCAATATTACTAACCCTATTATACCATCTATGACGGGAGATAGAACGCTGGCAAGTAAAACAGGGTTAGTATTTAAATATGGTATTTTGTTAAGTATTATTCAACAGGTAAAAGGTTAGAGAATGCCGGTCACAAGCTGAGTTTTTACCCTATTTACCTACCGTTTAAATTATAAGGATAAAATTGATCTGCACCCATAAATACCTAGTCATTCTCAATTTCTAATTCAGCAAAGAAGTATGTAAATCGTAAGTGGAAATGATTTTATCATCATTACATTACTTAAATATTAGTCTTCTTACATAAATAAATGTACGAGTTTTTTTTAAAATTTTATCTCAGAAATTACATTTTGGTACTTTGATGAAGTAACTGGATGGATTTAAAAGCTTTCCATCAAGAAATTGGTGGAATGGGGTAGTATTTCATTGGGACGTCTTTGATCTTGGTATCTAACAATGCGACCACATAATTTACTGATGTTTTACTGATTTACCTTAATACTAGTCATCAGTCTTTCCACTCGTAACGTCAATCATACCAGCGTATGTTTACTTAAAAAGTGTAAAATTTACCTCTTAAAGTATTTAAAAGTTGTCCAACTCCTAGAAATAGAGCGTCGTAAGGTTATCTAGAATGCTGAAATTAATACCCCTGTATTACTGGAGAGAAGTAAAGAAACTGAATGTTTTCAAGAGTTAGTTTTTAGGGATTAAATTTGTTTTGAAGTTTGACCATGGCCTGATATCAGTTAGACAACCATTGAAAACCAACAAGACGTACTTGATAACTATTTCGTCATACTTTGGGATTCGTCAGCGGTACGAACCCACCGGGTACAAACCCAAGAATTTCTGGTTAAAAGGAAAGCTTGTAGACCACCACTCACCCACTGGGATCCGATCCAGTGGCCTGTGAATTCCATTTTCTGCCAATTCTTGACTTTAGCACAACCATTAGCCAATATTATTGGTGAGTATTGGACTTCTCTCCCGACCTGATGGACTCAGCTTCGTCCTGTAGGCAGTCACTAGCGAGCAGCATGGATCATTGAGTCAAGTCCTAGCGGCTGAATGGTTTACCAGCTTGACTTCTAATAGGAAAGTACTAGGTCCCAACCCCAGTGGGTGCATTGCTGTGCTTTACCAATCTGCTTAGTACTTACTCCTCACTAGTAATGGTTTACGTCATGTGAACCCATAGTCTTCTCAGACTATGATCATCATTGTTTATTGTGTTTGGCGTATATTACTATTATTATTATTGTTGTCTTGGGTACCTAGTGGATCGTAGGGCTTCAACTACACGTCTCCACTTGCTGCTGTACTTTCACTTGCATCCATGTTAGTCCATACTGTTTCAGCTCTTCTTCATACAATCTCCTCCATGTCACCCTTGGACGTCCTACTCGCCACTTCATTTTCGGGTTCCACTCGAGCTATGGCCTGACGCGCGATGTCACCCAGCGCGATGTATCCTCAGCGAGTGTCCAATCCATCTCCACTTTCTCCTGCATATTTGTTGGGCGATTGGTTCTTGTTTTGTTTGTTCCCATAGTTTCTTGTTGGTGATTCTTTTCGGCCATCTGATCTTGAGTGCAAGGCAAAGACAGTTGTTGATAAATGTCTGCAACAGGCTGTTGGAAATATTCTTTGTGACCCGCCAAGTTTCTGATGGGGGGGGGGGTTGTAGGGTAGCGATAATATGCTTGTAACTCAATTTAGATAAAAGTACTAAGATTTACAAACTGTCCTAAATATATTCACTTGTGGATAATTATATGTACTCCTTGTTATTTTTGAAAAATAAAGTATTAGACTTAAATTCAGTATTCCTACCATTTAAGTATCGTACTCACACATTAACAGTCAATAAATTTATTGCAAATTTTAGCTATACTTCAGAAAGGTAAGCAAAAGTATCTGGCTTTCTTTTTGGGTGTTGTGTTTATGAAGATTCGACTGATTTGAGGGCAGATTTCTTCGAGAGACAAAAATCAATGAAAGAATCACTGAAACACATGTTTCGTTCTAGTTTGCGAAGCTTCATCGGTACTAACCCGTAATCCCACCATCGTTCCAACCTAGAAAACATTTGGGTCAACAGAGACAGACATAATACCATTCAGCCACTCGGTGATAATTCAATGGCTCGGGAATTCTACTTGTTATACAAGCTTTTATAATTAGTCCCTTACTTAACTGATTTTTTAATTTGATTGGACGCTGGTTAGTAACTAGTGTAGTGTGTCTGGTCTTTTGTTTGGTGCAGACTGAATTCTGTCACAGTCAGGTTTGCAATGTGGCCATCACGGTTCACTTTGAATTGTTGGAGGCAATCGACAGAAAGTCTCGTATGACCTAGGTTTCTTGCTAGTTGGAACTCGTCAGCAAAACGTATCTGAAATATTGATAGAATTCATATCCTTTCTGAGATATGAAGCCGAGTCACGGTTTTATAGGCTATATTCAACTTATGTTTGATAACGACGAGCTTTCCAGTTTGTACAACACATTCTGCAGTGCTATAGTGGTTTGTGTTGCTATGATATGAAATCCCTGACAACACAATGTGATTCATTCTGTTTCGTTGGTTAAAAAAATTATTCATTTTTCATACAAACTCAATTAGTCTCCTATATTCACAGGGTTTATTTTTTGAAGTATAAAGACATCACCTTAGAAAGTCATACAGCTTTCTTGAGTCATGATTTCAATTTCAAAAGATCCATCCATTTTTAAAAGGCTACAGTAATATAAAGTGGCTAATAAAACAAAAATTACTCTGAATTTTAAAAGAATTTGTATGTGGTTAAAAAAAAATTAAGCCGCTTCTTTTGAGTTGCACTCACTTGGATCACTTAAATGAGTGGGTATTCAAAAGTGCCAAAATAATCTGTAAATTATTAGTAGTTGAACTTTTGGATATTCTTTTGTTTTTAAATGTGTAGAAAGAGAGTTAAAAGGTGAGTCATTAGAGTTATATATATTTTGTATGTTACAACTTGAGCTATATAAGTGTTCTACTGATCATACAGTAAACTGATCATGATCACTGCTACAGTCTGTTTGAATCGAGGTCGATAATTGAAAATTAGTCAGAAATATGATTCTTATCAATAACTTTACTCTTACTTAAATTACCTGGGAGGAGTTTGTTGAAATTTGTGGTTAGTGAGATATCTGTTTATATTATAACTCAGAGTACGCAGAAACTCATCATTACAAACTCAGCGTAGTGGTTTGTTGTTTTTAATCATTCAGACACCTGAAGTTATTCATCAATACTGATGCAAACTTTGCGACTTTTAAGTTTGTATTTATATATGATTTATCAACTTCGCTACTACGGGGTGCCACCGACAATTATACATCTCATCCAACAGCTGTACGACAATGTCTCATGCCAAGTAATCCACAACGGGAATCTTACGGAATCCTTCGAAGTAAGCACAGGGGTAAGACAAGGCTGCCTACTGTCGCCAATGATTTTCCTGATTGCAGTGGATTGGATAATGCGACGGACAGCAGGCAATGAGGAAACAGCCATAAAATGGACTCACACGAAAAACTTGGAGGATATGGACTTCACCGATGATATATGTCTGATTTCCCCACAAACTGGAAGATATTCAAGCGAAAAGCAACAAGTTGGCAGAAGAAGCATCAAAGATAGGAATTCAGGTGAACACACAGAAAACAGAGGCGATGAAGATTCCTGGTCAAGAGCAACAGCAGTAGCAACAACAACAGAAAACAATCAGCATAAATGGGAGGAACCTGAAAGAAACAACCTCCTTTACCTGCCTACCTGGGAAGCATCGTTTCAACTACAGGCGAAACTGATGAGGATATCAAAGCAAGAATCGGAAAAGCAAGACAAGCTCTCACTACTCTCAAGTCTGTGTGGAGGTCAACAACACTCAACATGAGAAATAAGATCCAGATTTTCACCTCCAATGTGAAGTCAGTGCTACTATACAGATTTGCTGCGTCATAAAGAGCATCTCAAACAAACTACAGACCTTCATTAACAGTTGTCTTCTCTCAATACTCAAGATCAGATGGCCAGCCAGAAAAATTCAGCAACAGAGATCTCTGGAAGCGAATCAACCAGGAAGCGAGTGTGAAACAAATAGGCAGAAAGAAATGGAGATGAATTGGCCATACTCTGAGGAAACCATCAAGTGACATCACTAGACAAGCCATTGCTCGAGTGGAACCCGAAAGGGAAGCGGCGAGTTGGTCGTCAGTGCGAAGGTGGGGTGGCTTGGAGGAGGTCATGTGAAGAGGAGATGAAAACGTGTGGGCAGACATGGAGGCAGGTGAAGACTCTAGCGGAGAACCGAACGCAATGGAGACGCACGGCTGAAGCCCTATTTTCCTCTAGGAATTAAAGGAAACAATAGTGATAATTATATCAGCAGCTGCCTTAACCGACTCCATACAGAAGATCAGATAGCTGGCTGGCCAGAAAGAATTAGCAACAAGAAACTCTGGTAACAAACCAACTAAGAGCCGATTGCTCAATGAATATGTGGGAGAAAATAAAGATGGACTGATCGGACATACGTTGAGAAGGCCATCGAGTGACATCGAGCTCAGTACAAGCCATCTCTCGAGTGGAATCCCAATAGGAAACGACGAGTGGGTGACATGTAGGAGATCGTGTGGCGAGGAGGAGATGAGAGATTATGGACAACCGTGGACCCAGCTGAACAGGACAGCATCAAATAGAACAAAGTGGAGATGCGTTGTTGAAACCCTGTGTCCCATTAGGAACCCAAGGGAATAATAATAATAGTAACAATGTATATATGACTTACTGATTCTACCCCGCAAAACGTCATCCGTTATTTTTCTAGTCATATTTGCACTAATCTAACTCTAGAAGGTTATTCAAAAATCATATTCAATATCTTAATTTAATGAGAAATTAGTCAGCCAAATGAACCGCATAAAATTAAATAAATAGGTTTCACAGTGATTTACCTGAGAGTGTAAAATGAGGTTGGACTATTTTTAAAATCATGTAAATGCATGACTAAAGTTTAGGTAAGCACTTGCATGTCTGTTCATACATTAATCTGTGAACCACATGCAATAAATGTCAGGGTAAGAAAAACATTTTCGCCTTTTCCAGTCACAATGCAAGTACCTTCTCAACAGTCTTGAGTCTAACGTAGAGAATATTTCTAAATAAAACTTACTCTGAATCCTGTCATATTGTTATTATTATTATTCTCTTCGGTTCCAAGTAGAACATAGGGCTTCAGCAGTACGTCTTCATTTTGTCCCGTTTTATGCAATCCTCTTCAGTTAACTTCACGATTGCCCATAAGCTTCCATCTTCCCCCCACAAGATCTCTTCCCTGTCACTCTCGGAAGCCTGACTCAGCGTTTGACACTCAAGTTATACTGGAGCGATGGCCAGGTGCGCGATGTGACTCAACGGTCTCCACGGGATGTGTCCGATCCATCTCCGTTTTCTTCTAAATATCTGTTGAGTAATAGGTCTTCGGTTGGTTCGTTACCAGAGTTTCTTGTTTTTAATTCTTTCTGGCCGGCTATCTGATCTTCAGTGTGGAACCAGCAAGGATAGCTGTAGATAAAATTCCTCATTCGTGACGTGTTCACCAAGTATCTGACCCATCGACTTAATAATGGTGTTGAAAATCTGAATCTTGTTGTTTGTGCTGAGTGGAGCAGACTTCCAAACTGATTTCACACTGATGAAGCCCCGCCTTACCTTTCCGATTCTCATTTTGACATCCCTCATTGGTTCTGTCGCCTGTAGTTGAAACGATGTTGCTTGGTCAAATAAGTGAAGGAAGTGACCTCTATCGAATTTATCCAGTAACTGGTGTTTGATACTATTGTTTGTTTGTTTGTTTGGTTATCTTCACCACCTCTATTGTCTCCATGTCCACTTGAAGTAGTATCTTCGCTGGCTGCTGCGCTTTTGTCAGTTTGTTAGTTTCAGCCCGTAAGTCGTCGAATTTATATGACATTAGACGTCAGTCGTCGGCGAAGTCCAGATCTCCTACAGTCTTCTTTTCATATAGAAATGAATTAACGCACCTAGTAAAGTATACAGAAATATCATTTGTATTATGAATAACTGTAATTTGTAGCAATGTTTAAAAGCTGTAAGTTGAGTTTTAATTTATTAAGCATCTTCAAACATTTGTTCCCATCTGCAAAGTATATATATATATGTCTATATATAATTTAGTCAGTTTTTAGTTGGATTTCATGAAATCGCAGGAAATTTCGTAAATTTTTTAATGAAAAAGCGTATAAACAAATTTCTGAGTACAACTCCGCTATGTCGATAAGAAACTTTGAACGATAGAAAAACAGTAGAAAGTACTGTACTACTGTAACAACAGAAGGCAGTATACGGAAGCTGAGGTATATTTTCAAGTGATCAAACCACTATTTATGTAAATATACGGTTTTATATTCTCTAACCAATCACTGAGCGTGTGATTTTGGTTTACATTTGAGAACGTGTGAAAGAGAATGTTCAAATACATATATCGTATTCTGTTGCTAATGCAGTATTAAACTGTGGGAATATGTGAGGATAATAATCTGTTGGAACAAATTGTCTGTATCACACCACTACACTACTATAATTTATTATTTTAATCCTCTAGGTTCCGAGGGGAATATGGAGCTTCAAGCTTGAGTTTTGAAGTTTCAATAGCAGCGGTGCTTAGGTTTTACGGAGTGGGGTTGCCAGACTCATGCTCAGCCTCCCCTCTTTATTCGGTTCACTATTGTTTAAGAGAGGTAAGGAGTGCTTCGGCCGGGGATCGAACCACAGACTACGTCTGTGACTGGTGAGAATTCTACCACTAAACCACCGACTTACCTAATGTGGAAAAAAGGTTAATTTGTTTACCTGAGCATCAGTTCCTGTACCTGTCGCACGGTAAGCGAGCACTCTAGCATTTCAGCTAGTACCCGTGCACTTAGTACATTGAATTTATTTTTATCAAAGACAATCAACATTGATCACGAATTTAGAAGCAAGTAAGTTTCAGTGTAAGTGTTAATACTCATAATCATATCAGTTTAGTTACACGTCTTCACAGTTTGTCATGGACCATTGGATTGGGTTCTAGTGGCTTAGTAGTGGTCTACGAGCTGGCCACGTAACAGAAGGTGCCGGGTTCGGACCTCAGCAGGTGTGTAGTGATGAAGAGTCTCGAACTAGGACGAAACCCTTTCCATTTCTCGTAGGTTTGCCAATGGTCCTCCAACCGACGTCAGTTCACGACAAAATTCTTGAAACCAACACCTGATTATATATATATATATATAATTACTGGTTTAGTCTATGACTGTTAATTTTAATAACTTGCGATATATACGTCAATGAATTACAGGTGAAAACAACTCATTCGAAGTCACAGCATCCGTTACAATGACAGCGGCCTGCTCAAATCCTAGGCTACCAAAATGTTCCATCATTATTTTGCGTTCTTATTCTTCATCTTGTTTAGTTTGCCTTAATCTATTAAAATATGACTTCTAATAGTGTTCTGTACTTTTGCGAGTATTAAAAATATCTACAGCCAGCTGATTCGATAGTTCCTACTAATTTAAAACAAGCAATAAAGGTTAATAAAGCAGGATTTAATGAATTCATCAAATTTCGGTAGAATCGTCAGCTGAATACTCTAAATACACGGATATATACTTTTGAAATTACATTGGGAGATATAAGACTGATAAGTAAACAGGTGCGAATGTTTTTCCAGGTCATGTTCAAACATATAAGGGGAGAGAAAGTATGAGAGATCAAAATTAAGATAAGTTGTATTACGCTTCAATTATATCACTTAGATAAACAATTAGACATTAGAGAATATAACAAAAATTGCAACCAGAGTGATGTCAATAGTACTAGTTATAATAATAATAATAATAGTGTTGAAGTGAGTTAAGATAATGCTACTGATAAAGGATAGTTTTAAATGAATCAAGAATAATAATAATGAGAATAATAATAGTAATGATAAAAATAATAATAATAAGAGGTAGAATTATAAGTAAAACGTTTTACCATGGTAGATTCAGAGTCACGACCATCTCCTTTTGTACACAGAGACCTGGTTTGTAAATTCGAATTGCACAAGTCTCTGCAATTGCAAGCATCTTCTTGTTTCTTTGTCTGCTGACAATAGTGAATGACTTGACCGCGTCGATATCATGTCCGTGATCCACAAGATGCTTTGTTATTGAGGATTTCGGCACTTTGCACTCAACTGTTTTCAACCATTTTGGCAAATGCTCCATCATGCGAGTAGACAGTCGCCTTTCCGTACGACCTATGTATTTGCTTTCACAAACACACTCAAACTGATATACGGAGTTTTAAGTGTCGAGGATTGGCGACTTGTCTTTCCCAGATTGTTGAAGCACTCGCTTAGTGGTGTTAAGGAAAACAAGTTTTGCAGCATAATAAGTTCTTTTGATGGCTTCGTCGAGTCTTCATTTGACTACTTCCTGTACATCATCTCCTTTGAATGGCAAACTGATATAGACAGGTTTCTTCGGAACTTTTTGGATTGTTTTGCAGGGGCTAATTTCTTTAGAGTATTTACTAATGAACTTCTCAGGATATCCATTCTTAGATAAGATATCCTTCAGGGATTTTATTTCATGCTCAATAGTGCTGTCAGAACAAATTTTTCGTGCTCTATTGAACAGTGTTCTGACTAAGTTCTTTTCATACTGGACTGGAACAAAACTCTTGAAATGCATGTACTGTCCTGTCCCTGAAGGCTTTCTAAATATAGATATAAGTTTGTTTACTTATCGGTCCTATATCTCCCAATGTAATTTCAAAAGTATATATATATCCGTGTATGTAGAGTATTCAGCTGACAAGTTCTACCGAAATTTGATGAATTCATTGAATCCTGCTTTATTAACCTTTATTGCTTGTTTTAGGTCCCTACTAAATTTGCGAAAAAAGCATAATCGTGGGTGGATTTACAGTCAGCTAATATTTTAAATGAAGATCCTGGCTGGACAAAGAGAAAACATAATGCAACAATTTCCGCTGAAAATTCTGTACATGATAATAAATACTGTTTGGACTAATGCGATTATTACTATTATTATTATTATTACTATTAAGATATCTACGAGATATTGCACAAGTTTACTACATAAACATTTATTTTCAACCTGATTCTTAAAATCACAGTTCAAGAAAGTGGTGAGCCTAAAGGTGAGTAAATCTGTGTTGAAGTTATTGATGACATTTTGACATCAGTTTCGTCTTTTAATAATTTTAGAAGCAGAATAAAAATATAATTAAAAAAAAGAACTAGTTGGATTTCCTCTGTCCTAACGAATTTATATATATTAAGACAATTTAATTAATTTCATTCTACTAACTAACGAGCAAAAGTATCCTCCTTCCATATCTTGATTTTTATGATTTTCTCTCAACTGATTGATTTTATTGCGAAGCTTTCCTTGTCCCCATTCTAGACAACATCTTCAACTCAGGCTTGAATATGAAGTAAACTTGTTTAAATTCTCCACGTGAATGACATAATTGTATCTCCTGACAACCATTGGTGTGATTGCTTGTTAATTTTCATCTGTATTGATTGGTCATTTGAAATTTTAACTTCCTTGTCATCTGATTTATTTTTTATTAGTTGGTAAATTGATGTGTTTGTTAATCTCTAATTCATTCGAGTACCAGGCTTCTCTAAAACTTCCCCGACAGATCTGACGTTTCCTCTGATTGAAACTTCTGGATTTTTCCAATCGAATTGGTGTCCGAAATCAGCTGAATGCATCGGTATGAAAAAATACATATTGTGTCTTTTCTCAGTTGTTTTCTCATCTTGGATTCTAAATCAACAGGGACGCCCACTTTAACCAATGTAGTGTTTATTGCAGTTTATGCAATTTACTTTGTAAATGGTATTGATCTCGACTGGCAATGTTAGCTGACATGAGGTCCGGCTGGAAAAGAGCTAGTGGCGGTCAAACGAAAACATGGCACCAGTCAATGAAATCTAAAACAGTTAGTCTAAGCCAAGTATGAAGGTGTAGACTTCCTGGTAAGGGTCCTAGGAACGGTAAACATCAGTGGCTGGAGACAATCGGTGATATGGCTCAAAATCGTTCTCGATGGCTTGTGCAGACACATCCACTCCTTGTGACTTATGATTTCCAATGAAACTATATTGTCTTTCGTTATTACTATTCCTTTGTCTCACACCTCGGCTTACTGTCTCTATTATGCATTTCTTCTCTTGCTTTGTGTGCTACATGGAGTGTGGCAACTTGAACTGTTGCAAATTGGTGCAAAGTTCTATGTTGAAAACAGACAGACAGATCGATCTTATCTGCTTCTGCTGTTGGATCCTTTGTTCTGCACAATACATAATGAAGTAACTGTATTGGCCTGTGGGCTATGTCTGTTTCTAATTGTTCTTGTATTCTAGGAGTGATTTCAGAGATATTCTTCATATATATGTGTAACACCTCTTTGAATTTAAACATTTTTTAAAGAACCTGAATGAGTATTCATTCTTCTTGAAGACACTCGGTAGATGTTTCTCACCTATTCTCTCTTCATTGCTGGGGTGCTACAGTGTACGTGAACTCTTTTCAACAATGACAAGAATCTTCAAATACCAAGTCAACAATTATGATCATAAGGATGTAAATTTACAGCCAATCCCAACAGTGATTATTAAGAGATAAAGCTTTATCATTCATGGAGAATTCAAAAAATCAAATCAAAATATTAAAGCTTTTGATGTGAAGATGTTGTTTAGAGGGGTAATGAAAGCTTTGCAATTAAATCAACCAGCTCACAGAAAAAAAACCAAATCAAAATCGTCCAACTGAGCTACAAATCTTCTCCATTATTTCAAAATACGTATTGCTCTAGCAATTCAGTTCCCCAGCGAATAATGCTTAGGCGTTAACAGGACGGCTCCTAACTTTGATTTATCAAAGAAATAGTGATGCATGAAAAAAAAAGATTTAGAAGATGAATTTCAGAGAAAAGGTAACGTGTTTCTTGCCTTCCATTGATAGACACAAGCTTACACAATCATGTATATATATATATATATAAATATATAGACATATATATATAGAACCGGAACAATCTGGATTCAGGAAAGGAAAATCATGCTCTTACCAAACTGCAACTCTACGCATCATCATTGAACAAAGCATGGAATGGCAATCAAACCTCTACCTCAACTTTATAGACTTTGAGAAGGCCTTCGACAGCGTTGACCGCGAAGTAATTTGGGAACTACTCAAGTACTATGGCGTACCCCAAATATTCATCAACCTTATTCAACTGCTGTACGACAATGGCACATGTCAATTGATCCACAACGGAAAACTCAGCGAGGCGTTTGCAGTAAACACAGGAGTCAGACAAGCGTGCTTATTATCATCAATGATATTACTAATTGTGATGGACTGGATTATGCATCAGACAGTGGGAAACGAGAAGATAGGGATATCCTGGACCGACGTGAATAACCTAGAAGACCTGGATTTCGAGCGTGGATGATTTATGTTTGGTGTCACACAAAATCGAAGACTTACAAGCGAAAACCGACAAACTGGTCGAAGAGGCTGGCAGCAAAGACAGGACTGCAGGTGAACATAGACAAGACGGAGGTTATGAAAATAACCAACCAACAACAACAACAACAACAGCAACATCCAGCGCCAGTCACCATCAATGGGGGGATTTGAAAGAGGTTACTTCATTCACTTATCTAGAGAGCATTGTCTCAACTACAGGAGGAACGGACGAGGATGTCAAATCGAGCGAGAATCGGGAAGGCGGGAAACACATTCATCAACTTAAAACCAATCTGGAAATCTTCGTCACTCAACTCAGCATCAGCAACAAAATTCGGATTTTCAATACAAACGACGTCAAGTCAGTCAGTTCTTCTATACGGATCAGAAACTTGGCCAGTGGGTCACAAAGAACATTCCCAACAGCCTGTTGCAGACCTTTATCAACAACTGTCTTCGCTCTATACTCAAGATCAGATGGCCGGAAAGAATCACCAACAAGAAACTATGTGAACAAACAAAACAAGAACCAATCGACCAACAAATATGTAGGAGAAAGTGGAGATGGATTGGACACTCGCTGAGGAGGCCACTGGGTGACATCGCGCGTTAGGCCATAGCTCGAGTGGAACCCACCGAAAGGGAAGCGGCGAGTGGGACGTCGAAGGGTGACATGGAGGCGATCGTGTGATGAGGAGTTGAAACAGTATGGACTAACATGCATGCAGGTGAAAAGTACAACAGAAGACAGAAGCAAGTGGAGATGTGCAGTTGAAGCCCTATGTTCCAGTAGGAACCCAAGGGTACCATAATAATAATAATATAATGATAAAGTTCACTAGAGTTATACAGTGGTGTGATCACAGCCAATTCGACACGGTTTACCATCATATTCAGCTCATGATACATTGCAAACAAATACAGGTCAACCTACTGTTTTAATGGCAGAAGAAACGAGAACTGGTAACGGATTAAGGAAAAACTTGTCGTATCTATGCATCTTAACCACTTCAAAAGTCGGTTAGGTCAGTGGGCAATACGCTGTTCTGAATGGTTGGCGACCGGCCCAAGGTTAAACAATGGGATGGAAAGTTGTCCAGTGGGATTAATTCCGGACCACAACGTAAACTAGATACAGGTGTGAAGAATAAGCAGTTCTACGTCTTCATCCAACCACTGACTTACAGTGTTGATTTCTGTCTGAATCTATATATCACACACTACACCAGTTTACAAACTTACATTGATTTAATATAGTCTGGCGGCGAATGTTGGCACTCAGGATCTGCATGCTGTTTTCCTTTTATTAGATTAGTCAGTTGGATGTGTCTTTTTATTTTTCGGCGAATTCACCGAAAAGAGACTTTTCGCTGAACTACCGGTCTTCTGTCGATTTACTTTTTTTTTAATCGTATTTATGAAATTTTTGTGTATTAATTTCAGGCGAATTTCAACCAGAAGCAAACAGGTGAGAACTTTGAATGGAGTGTAGTGGAAATTTTATTCACACACACACACACACTTTAGAGACATATTCCTTGTCAGCATGGTTGATTATCTAGTCAAAAGAAAATTGTTGGGTGCGAATACAAAAATGTACAGTGTTATTTTAATGTCTAGTCAAACTGACACTAGACCAGAAATGCATCCAGCTATGACTGTTTTACTTATTGAATCACTGTTCACAAAGTTGGTCTTCTCATTAATACGTTTCTGATCAACTCACGGAGTAAAAGGCTGTTAACATTGTGTGACACTGTAGTCGGTTAGAACTTAGTTACCTGGAAATGTTGTTGTTAATTACAGTGGACTGGATTTTGCGGAAGACTGTGCTTGGGGGCGAGAAGACAGGAACTCCAGGTGAACATAGAGAAGACAGAGATGATGAAGAAAACCAGCTAACCAACCAAACAACAGTAACAAACACCAGTCACTATCAACGGGGAAATTCGAAAGAGGTCACTGCATTTACTTATCTAACCAGTCAGCATCGTTTCAACTACAGGCGACAACATGGAGCAGGATGTCAAAACCAGTAGGAATGGTGAAGGTCAGATAGATCTTCATCAGTATACAGTCAGTTTAAAAATCTTGTGCACTTCACCGAAGCATAAACAGCAAAATTTGGATCTTCAACATTATTGTTAGGTCGGTCAATTCTTTGATATGTTTCAGAAACTTGGCGCAGGCGGTTATGGACTTTTATCAAAATCTGCGTTCTCTGGAGCCATACAGAAGATTGGATGAATGACCAGAGAGAATTATCAACACGAAACTCTTTGAGGAAATTCCATTGAAAACTCATTTGTCTACGAGTATTCTGAAGAAACTGGAGATGGTTGGGTACATACTACGGAGACCTTTGGGAAACATCGCACTTGTTAGGCTCTGGAGTGGAACTCGAAGGGGAGAGTGTCATGGAAGAGATTGTGATAGGAGGAGATGAGAGCTTATGGGCAGTCGCGGAGCCAGCTGAAGGGGACTTCAGAGAACAGGACAAAGTGGAGGTGTGCAGTTGAAGCTGCATATGCCACTCGGAACCAAAGGGAATAATAATAAAAATATATAACAGTTACTTGGAATTAATTTTTCGTATCTCCAGTTACGAGTTACACCAATTTTGTTAACGCTAATGATGTTGCAAAAGGGCTAAGGCTAAAGTGGGTTGGGTATCATTCGAACCCAAAACTCACTGATTAAAAGTCAAGTCCCAAGCCCAGTGAGCCACACTGGCCCGAAGATAATTCGTCATTTACTGGGATTGTGTACCTGTCGAAAACAATTGTGCAACTAGAGTTAAAAGGGAATTCAAAATACGCTTGACTAGTTTTGGTCATTTAGATAAAAACTACACTTTTACTTGTTTTGACCTAAAACGCTGATTACAGTTTTGATCAAGATTTTACATCAGTTAGAAAACCACTGAAAAAACCAGGGAGTCCTGAACAGCTATCTGTTTCGTCCTAGTTTAAGACTCTTCAGCAACGTGTGACTCAATTCCCTCAATTTACCTGATATTTAGTTCGGTGTTATATTAATACATATTATTTCTTTCTTACTGATGCTCCCTTTGAAATCGACATTCTTGATTCACTGTAATTTGAGATAGCATTTATAATTATTATTCCCTTCGGTTCCGAGTTTAACACAGGGCTTCAACAACACTTATCCACTTTGTTCCATTTTCAGCTGTTCTCTTCAACTGGGCTCACGACTGCCCATAATCTCTCATCTCCTCATCATTTTACGATCTCCTACACGTCATCCTCGAACCGACGAACCACTCGTCACTTCTAATTGGGATCCCACTCCCGCAATGGCCTGCACTGAGCGCGATGTCCTTCGACGGCCTCCTCAAAGTATGCCCGATCCACCTCCATTCTCTCCTACATATTTGTTAAGCAATCGGCTCTAGGTTGGTCTGTTCATTGCCAGAGTTTCTTGTTGCTAATTCTTTCTGGCTGGCCTGCTGGTCATTCAGTGTTCCGTATGGAGCCAACGAAGGCAGCTGTTGATAATAGTCTGAAACCTGTTGAAAATTGTCGTGATGCTTCGGCCAAGTTTCAGACCAGTGTAGAAGAACTGACTATCTTAACTTTTGTTTCGAAAATCCAAATCTTGTTGTTTATGCTGGCTGAGTGCAGTGCCTAAGATTTCCAAACTGGTTTTCGGTCGATGAAGGCGTATCTTGCCTTTCCGATCCTGTCTGACTACCTGTGGTTGGAACCATGTTTCCTAGATAAGTGAAGGAGGTAACCTCTAACAAATATCTCCTGTTGATGGTGATTGGTGCTAGTTGTTATTGCTGTTGGTAGGTTGGTTATCTTCATCACCTCCGTCTTATTTATGTTCACCTGGAATCTTGTTAATAAGAATGTTTGTTTAATTTATCGAAATGATTATTGTTCATTAATCAGTCTTTTAAATTTTTAATAGGCATTCCCAATGAATTATAAGCGTTCCACAGAATGGCAAAGTAATACGCCGTGAAGTGGTTGAAGCCGATCGGCAGGCAGTCCTAGACTTAAGTCTTTTGCTTGTTGACAGTTGTCAGTAAGGTGTATGAGCAACCTTGAAGGCGATAATGTCGCTTATGAAGTTAAGCCATGTGTTTATTACACCCATCTTGAGGAGAGGTGTTGTGATAAATGAGACACATTCACTGTGATGGAAGGTTTGGCTTTTCTTATCTTGATGAATATAATGGATATATTCAGGTGAATAAACATGTATTGCTGAGGCTTACATTGCTCAACTTATTGATCAAAAAGATTTCTTCCCCGCCTTTTTCAACCTACACTTAGAAAAACTGCATTACGAATAAGCAGTTCTCTTGGTACATCTAAATAGCTAGTTTTATATTACGGTTTATTACTCATGCATTGATTTTCCTGGCGGAATTACAAAAGAGTTTGATTTGGTTCCCATGGCTTAACAGCCAAAAACACAGAATAGCAATCGCTGTTATCTGTGAAGAACTTTACAGTCGCCTTATTTTCTAAATCCATTCGTCTCAATTATCCTTACACACTGCCCACTTATTTTAGCTGCCAATGGTTAACTAACTGGCAATGATTGTTAATGTTGAAACAGTCGGAGAACATATTTATGGTTACGTAATCTATTACTGTTTGCGTTTAAAGTTTTTGGTTTTGATTACAGTAAATATTTGTTAAACAGCTCATATTACTTTTTAAATTTATTATCAGCACAATATTGAGCAAACTATGGTATGTTGAGTTATTTTGACCATTAGCAAGTCTAAAATTTCCTAAGCTTAGGAAATCATCAGGCAGTTTGCTTATTTAATTACATTCAGGAATCAGATTTGACAGTTAATCACAATAATTAATTTTATTCCATAACAGTGCTAATGATACAGTGTGGAATATTCAGCATTTAGTACAAAACTGCATCTAATTTGCTTGCCAACATCAACACCAAGAAATTATACTACGGGGTATATTATTTATTATTGTTTAATTTAATTCCTAGAGGAACATAGGGCTTCAGCCAAACGTCTCCATTGCGTTCGGTTCTCCACCAACGTTTTCATCCCGCTCCACGTCTACCCACATGCTTTCATCTCCTCTTCACATGAACTCACACTGACAACCAAATCGCCGACTCCTATTCGGCTTCCACTCGAGTGATGGACTGGCGTGTGATGTCACTCACTTGATGGTTTGTTTTCTCAGAGTATGGCCAATCCACCTAACTCCATTTCTTCCTGCATATTTGTTGCACAGTTGATTCCTGCTGGGTTGGTTCGTTCATTGCCAGAAATCTCTGTTGGTGGTCTTTTCTGGTCGGCCATCTGATCTTGAGTAGTGTTGAGCGAAGATAGCTGTTGATGAAGATTTGTAGTTTTTTCAAAGTACTCCACATAACGAGGCGCGGCGCCAAGTCTCTGATCCTTACGAACAGTAAGTAACACTGACTTCACATTCGAGTTGGAAATCCGGATCTTATTTTTCATTCTGAAGAGTGCTGTTAACCTCCACACAGACTTCAGTGTAATGAAACCTTGACTCGGTTTCCCGATCCTCGCCTTGATGATATCCTCGTCAGTTCAGTCCGCCTGTAGTTGAAACGATGCTTCCTAGGTAGATAGGTAGGCAGGTAGGTCGGTGAAGGAGGTTCGTTCTTTCAGATTTCCATCATTCATACTGGCTGATTGTTGTCTGTTGTTGTTGCTACTGCTGTTGCTGTTGGCCAGGAATCTTCATTATCTCTGTCTTCTCTATGTTCACCTGTGGTCCTATCTCCTCTGGATGCTTCTCCTGCCAACTTGTTGCTTTTGACTTGCATATCTTCTAGTTTGTGGGAAATCAGACATATATCATCAGTGAAGTCCAGATTCTCCAAGTTTTTTGTGTGGGTAATCAAAATTGATAATAGCGTCTTTTCGGTATTAATAGTGATAACAAAATCAAAAATGTACAAAAGTTATGAAGGGATAATGATTATATTAATAACGAAAATTATAAGATAACCGAATCAGTGTCACCATTAAGTACAAATAAGAGAAGATAAAAAAGGCATTTATTTTGCTAATTAAGTTCGATTACTGTAGCCTGTAGATTGATGCTGATTGAATAACCCTCAAATTATCATATGCCAACTCAACAGTGATGAACCATTTCCACTCAGCTTCTAACTTATTATTATTTTGCGAATAGTTAAATTGGAAAGAAGGACGCCTATCTGGTGACAGACGCGGTAATCATGAGTATCACTTATCTTCGCCAACAATGCATACAACAGCTTACCGCTCTCTCAGACCATAACTTAAGCGAAATCACATAAAAATGAGACGGAGCAGTATTTACACACAAAAATGTATAATTCAAAAACTCAACAGGGAAATTGGTTACAGGATTTCATCATGAGCTGACATTGCTTAGAGAATCATTGGAAAACCTGAGAGTACTGCAGAGCTGTTTCGTCCAAGTTTGGGACTCTTCACAGTACGAACCCAGGACCTTCTGGTTACAAGGCTAGCTCGTAAACCATTAAGCCACTGGGACACGATCCAATGGCCCATGAATTCTCACTTCTGCCAATTCACGACATAGCGCGACCGCTAGCCAATGTCTTTGGCGAGTATTTGTCCTCACACCTAACCTGATGCACCCTACTGGTCATGACTTCCCACTAGAACCCCAGGTAAAACTACCTACCTGCATAGGGCCAGTCGCCAGTGCGTAACTCATTGATATTCAACAGGGAAATATTAATTAGTCTGTAATCATAATCAATAAAGTAATGGGCGTAGTCTTTTAGGTCAATTCTGATTGGTTTATTTTCAGACTGGACGCTGATCATCATATCACACTTACATTGGAATTTATTGGTTTTCACTGTTACTTACTCTTTCGTCATGGTCTGTAACGCAGAGACAAAATTTCCATTTCCTCGTTTCTTAATCTTCACAAAGAAGACATCATAAAGAGATTGCTGAAAATAGATTTGCGTTGTATTTATTTGAAAAATAATGTTGAGAAACTTAAAAGTATGGGAATAGAACTTGTGCACTGTGGTAGAGGATAACTCCATTATGGATAAGATTTTATTTTGATAAAGCCTCACAGTGTTAAACAGTAAAATTTACTGATGATCACGTTTCCAGAACAATTTATTGCTGCTCATAATCATATCAAGGCACTACTCACACAACTTTCCAACTTCGTTTATATAATTCCATTATTATTTTTCATCGTTTGACTTGATTGGTAGTAGTATTTTCCATATTTCTAGTATGAGTGATGAGTCATTCCTATTGCATGTGTTGGGTGTAGACTCGATGAACAAGGATTCAGTAATCAACCTCCCTCTATCTACACCTACTTATTTACATCTTAGAGTTTTAACCGTCTCCCACCCTATTGTGCGGTTGTGTGTTAATGTATGCAGTGCAATCGATGAGCTTTTTCTAAATTACTTATCTTCTCGGGGTCAACCATTCTTACCTTACCTAAATTCTTATGTCCCGACAATATGACTACCTCCAACCTACTAGTTTGACCTATGTAGTTGACCTAACTCACAGTCATTGCAAGATATTTTGTAAATTGTATTATTTTGTCTAATTGAGTCAACTGGATCCTTTAACCCACAGATCTTGTCCTTGAGTGAGTTTGTAGGTTTAAGTGTCACCACTCTAATTTCTGCATCTCAAATGTCCCGTCTTTATACAGTATAACTGTGGATGACTTATTTTCTTTCTTATTTATGTTACCATTATTAGTTTCCCCATTATTTTTTATTTTGCTTTTGACCTTTCTTGATATTCCTAATGAATTTTATAGGATAGTTATTTGACACCAACGCTTCTTTTATCTGTTTTATTTCGTCATTTAGGTCTTTTTTTGTACTGCTTAGTGCTACTGCTCGATTTGTTAGACACTTAACTAAGCCTGCTTTTACAGATAACGAATGAGATGAACTAAAGTCTAAATATTGATTACAATGCGTTTTTTTTAATAAACGCTAGTGTTTTATTTTATTTTATTTTATTTTACAATCTAACATAGCTAATTCTCCTAGTTCATTTTCCAATTCAAATGTGAAATTTATTCCCTTTACTAGTGAGTTTATTTGTTTCAAGAAGCTAGAGATAATGTTCCGTTTTTACTGAATCCTTGTCCATGGGGTCTACACCCAACACGTGCAATAGAAATGACTCATCACTGATACCAGAAATATGGAAAATACTACTACCAATCAAGTCAAAAGATGAAAAATAATGGTGGAATTATATAAATGAAGTTGGAAAGCTGTGTGAGTAGTGCCTTGATATGATTATGAGCAGCAATAAATTGTTCTCGAGACGTGATCATCAGTAAATTTTACCGTTTAACATTGTGAGACTTTATCAAAATAAATTTTACTCATATGGAAACCTCAAAGTAGCCACTATCATGCTTCTACGTTTTCACCGTGATTAGCTGTAAAATCTTCAAAGCCTACATATATTTCTTCTTAATATCAGTTTGAGTAAGCAGAAAATACGTGTTCAACTGCCTTCCAAAATCTAGTTGTCTACTGAGAGAAAATCATCTCTGTTGTAGTATTAGGCAATGGAGAAAGAAAAATTAATAAAGTGCATATGGATTGTGATAATTTTTCAATATTTTCTGTCTGACAGTAGTTTCTTTATGATGAGAGAAAATGTATAATTGTATCACACTAGAGAAATTTTTAAAGTACTTGCAAAGGTCACACAATGTCAATTATCAGGAAACTTTGAAAGTAATAAGCACTGCCCAGGCAGTCAGACAAAAAAATGGGAGAAGAATGGTTAAATAATGTTTAAAATGGGCATATATCAGACAAATGCCAAGAATTTAGTGGACAAATCCTGGTTAAATAATGGTGAAAATTGGGAAATATTGCTTAAACCATCGTCAATTTGGAAAAAAACTTTGATAAAGTTTTCAAGTATTGGTTTTGTAGGAAGTTTTGTTTGACTGGTTGAAGGATTTTATCATGAGCTGACATCATTTAGAGAACCACTGTAAAAACCTGGGAGTACTACACAGCTGTTTTGTCCTAGTTTAGGTCTCCTCAGCAGTACGAACCCACCGAGGGTAGAACCCAGGACCTTCTGATTGCAAGGATATCTCGTCGACCATTAGGCCACTGGGACCCAATCCAGTGGGTAATCCATGAATTCCAGCTTCTACCAATTCACGATTTAGCGTGAACACTTCGCAGTGTCTTCTACAATGATTAACTGTCCTCACCTTCAACCTGCAGTAACCTACTTTGATAAAGTATTGCTTAAATTGTGGGTAAATATTGGTCCATTTATATTAAAATAATGGTTAAACAATGATCAGAATTGCAAAGTACTGGTTAAATTTTAGTCAAAATAGGAAAAATTATGTCATATAGCCAATATTCGCCCATTTTTTCCTACTATCCGCCATGCCTATTATTTGCCCATTTAACACCCCTTTTTGTCCTATTGGGTGCTCAAAAATTATGCCTATACAACCTATACACAAATGTTCAAGTTTAAACAAAATAGTGCTTGAATACGTTGGAAACGACAAAGTGCGGATGACTTAGAGACAAGTAAATGATAGTTTGCGAAAAAACACTAAATCCATCCAAATGTCATATTGCTGATTTTAGTTTCAGATGTGAAAAAGGCTTGCATGGACTGACTGATTCTTACGATTTTCGTAATATTAATGGCACTGTGATAAGAGGCAAATCGAATACCTCCTATCTCGGCATCAGTTTCTCTTCAAATCTCTCTTCGCCATCTCATATCTTGTTGATTTCTTATTTCATAGAGAAGTTGAGATTTTATGACACATCGTCTCCTCATTCTTCTTCGTCGTTATTGACTTAACTAACTGACATTGCTGTCAACAGGTACATTATAATTCTTGCAGGCAGTTAACTAAAGTTATCTTGTCTGATACCAAACGTCCTCTTTATTATTCTCAACTTTTTCCTTGTTTCTCTTCGGGTAGAACAAGAAGAAACCTCACAAGCATTTAGGCTCTTATGGCCAGTAAATATAAAAACTCAACCATAGCATATTTAAGAAGGGTTTCGTGTGAACAGATAGTTGTCAGAAAAGAGTTTATAAACATTTTAAATCAGTAGCTGAACTGAAGATTATAACAAGAATAACTATTACATTTACTATTTATTTACAACGAGGAAACAAGCATAAAATGGACCCACACAAATAACTTGGAGAATCTGGACTTCACTGATGATATATGTCTGATCTCCCACAAACTAGAAGATATGCAAGTCAAAAGCAACAAGTTGGTAGCAGAAGCATCCAGAGAAGATAGGACCACAGGTGAACATAGAGAAGACAGAGGTGATGAAGATTCCTGGTCAACAGAAACAGCAACAACAACAACAACAGGCAACAATCAGCCAGTATGAATGGGAGAAATCTGAAAGAACGAACCTCCTTCACCGACCTACCTACCTAGGAAGCATAGTTTCAACTATAGGCGGATAGAACTGACGAGGATATCATCAAGGCGAGGATCGGGAAAGCAAGTCAAGCTTTCATCACGCTGAAGTCTGTGTGGAGGTTAACAGCACTCTTCAGAATGAAAAATAAGATCCGGATTTCCAACTCGAATGTGAAGTCGGTGCTACAATACTGATCAGAGACTTGACACAGCACTGCGTCACGAAGGGAACTTCGAAAAAACTACAGACCTCCACCAACAGATGTCTTTGCTCAACACTACTGAAGATCAGATTGCCGACCTAAAAAATCAGCAACAGGGAAATCTGGCAATGAACGAACCAACCAGGAACCGATTTTGCAGAAAATATGCAGGAAGAAATGGAGTTAGGTGGATTGGCCATACTCTGAGAAAACAAACTATCAAGTGAGTGACATTACACGCCAGTCCATCACTCGAGTGGAACCCAAACGGGAAGAGGCCAGTTGATTGTCAGTGCGAAGCTGATATGGAGGAGGTGATGTGAAGAGGATATGAAAGCATGTGGATGGACGTGGAGCGGGATGAAAACGTTAGTGGAGAAGTGAACGCAATGGAGACGTGTGGCTGAAGCCGTATGTTCCTCTAGGAATTAAAGGAAACAGTAATAAGAATAACATTTATTTATTGTTCATTATTTTCCATTAAGTTTCAGTTTTGTGGTTTTGTTATTTTTTAATACGTTATGTATTAATATATTTATAAAAAGAGATAAATTGTTGCAGTGTGTATAATGCTGAAAATTCCATTCCGTATAATTATCATTACTGTTTGAAATAAAGTGATTGTATTATTATTATGCACTTGAGAAGAGCCGGAGAAATCAGATGACATCTCATTATTCAGCTTAGTTTGTTGTCCTCAACATCTTTCTGATTTCATCAAGGCGAAAATTACATAAAACTTGTCAAATCACTTTTTACCGTTTTCATATAGCTTTTTTCCAACTATTTATTCGTAAAGATTTTATTGGGTTTACTTTGAATTTAGCTGCAAATAAACATCATTTTGAGGACTACTGAAAATTAGAGAATACTGGATAGAGCTGTTTCTTCATTCTTTCACTTTTTTTGTGTCCATTGTCTGTCTGTCTGTTTTCGACACAGAACTTTGCACATATATGCGGCAGTTCAAGTCGCCACACTCCCTCCATGTAGGACACAAAGCAAGAGAAGAAAGTAGGAGAAATGCATATTAGAGACAGTGAACAGAGGTTTGAAACAAAGGAGTAGTAATAACGAAGAACAAAACAGTTTAATTGGAAATCATAAATCACAAGGAGTGGATGCATCTGCGCCCGTCATTGAGAACGATTTAGATCCATATCACCAATTGTCTCCAGCCATATGTGTTTACCGTCCCAAGGACCCTAACCATTCAGGTTGTCTACACCTTCCTACGTGGCTTAAACTAACTGTTGTAGGTTTCATTGACTGGTGCCGTGTTTTTGTTTGACCGCCGCTAGCTCTTTTCCAGCCCGACCTTATGTCAGCTAACATTGTTCGTCGAGGAAGGCGATGACCAGGCATACGTAACACATGTCCTAACCATCTCAGTCGATGTGATTTCACAGCCTCGTCGATTAATTTCCCCTCCTTACCTAGCACTCGACCGATGCCTAACCTCAATATTAATCACCTTATTATACCACTTCACACGGGAGATACAACGCAGACAGCTATCATCAAAGACAGCTAATCTTTTCATGTCTTCCACTCTCAATGGCCAGGTCTCACAGCTAGCCATAAAGGAGGACGGAGCGGACTGATGAGCATGTGTCCATTGGCTTGTAAATTATTTTAGCAACAATATAGTATTTATTTATGCAAAGAGTCAGACAATTTATGTGTAGCAATACCTACCTGTCCATGTGAAGAATCACGAATAGGATGAAATACACTGCTGATAACTATTGGGTGCATGACACTAAAATACTCGCAGCCTTTCATGTATTTCGTATGAAGAGTAGGCCAAACTAATGGAGTTTAAGTTACCAGTTATCTCTCAAAGGCTTTATATATATATATATATAATTATCAGAAGTTTATTGACCATCATATTTCCTAATATAGAAGCAGTTGAATGTGGGTTAAAAGTTCCTACTGTTTCACATGTCAATTTAATGTCTTTATTATATGTATTAATATACATCATCAAATTATTATATCAAAATAATGTATTCACTTGAAAAGTATTCAGTGTTTATTTGCACTTCTTTTTTGCAGGCAGTTAACCAATCACTGTTTCCTAACATTTAGTAACTTGGCTAAACTTATACAAAACGATCATGCACTGAAATAACTGTACAATTTATAAGTAATTTATTTGAACTAAACTTTCTATTTTCTTTACGTTTTCTGTATTCATTGTTGAGATGATCTGATACAGACTGATGGTGACATAAGAATGTTAATTTTATTTAGGCAATAAATACACTTCTAACTGTATTAAGTTTTAAGGTTTTTAAAACAAATCAGGTGATTACGAGAAGGTGTAACAACAAATATCAGTAGTACAGCCCTATCCCATTTCGTACACAGTAGATTTTAGATTAATTCACATCAGGGGGACGAATGGGTTTTCTTTATAGGTACTCGAAGTGCTGGTAATCGCTGTCGATAAGCTTGTTTCGTATATTTGTCACCCTGACCTACCTCAGAATGAACGCATCATTTCTGACCAGTCTTTGTAAATATTTTAAGTGAACTTCTCACTGCTGTTCAGTCTACTCACTTTCTTCAGAAATAAACTATCTGTGAAAACTGGTGGCTATTTCTGAGGCTCTCCTTATTGTAAAATTAGCCATATGGCATATGCTACTGACACGATTTCTAAGTAGTATGTTGATGTAGAATCTTCGAAAGCAGCTAAAAGTGAAATCAATATTTTAAGTCAATGGCTGCAGAGGATTAAGTGTTCATTCCTTAAGTCTGGATTGAGCTTACAACGTAGACATGAAATTACCTCGTTGGACAACTTTTCGTCTCATTGTTTGACCTTGAGCTAATTGCCAACCAGTCCTCTAACCTATCCGATATATAGTGTGGCTGCAAATGTGTAAATATGATGTGGTGATTGACATTTTCTATCTCTGTATTGTTTAAATACTTAGTTTTGTTTGTTAATATATTCATTACATGAATTAGAAGAATTTCGCCAAATACAAATTCCTCAATTCATCCCTCTCTGTGTTTTTGGTTGAATTCCTTTAATTCGGTCATTGCGAAATACAAATACTACTATTACAAATAATTATAACATATGATTTGTTTTGCTTAATAAGGGTCCATTACCAATTCTCTTATCTTCTTCCGCTAGATCCGGTTTGGAAAATTGTGGCTAATAACTTTTAGGTACACTGGCAACCATATCAGTCAGTTTTTATGGACAGAAATGTTGCTTTTACTTTCCTATAGGCGCTTCTGATAAGTGTGTAGTTTACATACCTGACACCAATTATAAACTCGTCCTCCCTCTAGTGTATACGGAAGCCAGATTGGCAACAGGTGTATTTTGCACTGCAGAAATAAATAATAGAATTCTTACGGTTTGACGCGTAAACCTGAACCTATAGTTTTTCGCTTCATGCCATATATACAACGAAAGACTACTAATTTGTACTTCAACTCCCGAGATTCATGGTTCCGTATGCACTTCTTCATTACATAATGTGTATGAGTTGCCTAGGAATACTCTGCCATATATATATTATTGATTCTAGCTGACTCAGGGCATCTTCTACTTCAACCCAACTGGTATACCGGTGACTAAACATAATTCCGTCAAAATTTTTTTTATGTCCACTGATATAGGAAGGGCAGGTTGGTTGCCATTGTCTCCAGATGCCAATGCGTTCATTGGGCATCACTGTAAATGAAAAGAGAAGCTTTTGAATTAAAAATTCACGAACCGCCAACTTGAAAGGGCCAAGTTAAACTTTAGACACCAATAACTACCAATCAGCGAACGACGTCGAATTATCCAATGAGATTCACGAACGTAGTTCAATATTGTATAGCGCTTGATTCATTTCAATGCGTGCCCTTACAAGGTTGCGTTTGCAATTTCGAGGAGGATAGTGTCTTTCGGTATTGCCTGGACTTAGGCTTGCTTCTAAAGAAGAGAGGTTGTTCGTGTGGTGGTGTAATGACTCTAAAAAGCTATACTAGGTCAACTGATGGTTTTGTACATCGTTGTGGAATATGCTGGAAGCTAGTTAGTATTAAAGGGTAATATTTCGTAGGAACTTTTTCTGCTAGGTCGCATCTCTCCCTAACCCATATTTTGCACATTTGCAGTTACTAAGTACTGAAACAGCCCGTGAGAGCCTCTGCTGCCGAGATGGAGAACAGCCTCGTCTCAACAGTTCAGTGGTACCAGCATTGCAGAGACGACACGTCCCTCCCAAAAGGATTTGTTGAGAGAATAGCAGACAGGAAGGCGACTACTCTGGTACCTATTATAAAGCGACTCGTGAAACCGGGATCAATTGTTCATACCGACGAGTGGAAAGGCTATGATTCATTGTCATCCCTGGGATACATTCATCACAGAGTGAACCACTCCAGTGATTTCGTGGACCCAGTTACAGGGACTCATACAAATTCCATTGAAGGATTTTGGGGTCGATTGAAAAATAGAGTAAGGGCTATAAATGGACCTCAAAAGGATCTCATTTATAGTTATTTAGATGAACATATATATAGAATAAGGTGTGACTTCTCTATTGACAGTGCCATGCTGAATTGGGAAATGTTTCTCTCCCATGTTCGGGAAAAATACCCATTGTAACCGTTTTATCATTTTTTTTGTGCATTTTTTTATAAATATACGTTTCCGCTTATCATGAACGTCTCTTACGCGTGATTGGTCCGTCCAAGGTCGTTTGCTGATTGGTTGTTATTGGCGTCGAAAGTTTAACTTTGCCCTTGGAAGTGACACTGACTTGGAAACTGTAGCGGAATTCCTTACCATAATTACTGTTTTGGATAGTTCCTGATTATAGCCAAAAGCATTTACTAGAACACTCGTGAACGACAAATATGGACACAAGCGATAATACGAAGCTCTGCAGAAATCATTGAGACGCCACAAACAGGAGTTAACACCAAGGATTTTAGGTGCACCCTATAATTTTTGCATGAACCACATTCTCAACCATCCTCCTGCACGGTAAATACCTTCAGGCTTAGCGACAGCTTTTGACGACAATTCTTAACGAAATCAACACAGTTCAAGCCAAATAAAAACCAGAAACACGTCAATTGCAGCTACCTAGATCAAACGAAGCAAATCAGCCAAACTCAAATCAGCTGGACCGCGCAAATGTTCTCAAGGTAAAGGTGGAGGCGCCACTTCAAACAGGGGATATGCCATATCAGTGCAAAAATACAACTAGAACTGAAATAATTAGATCGAAATGAATCATCGAAACAAACTTCGTCTCTCTTATGCCTAAGGTGTTTCAAGTTGTGTTTTTGTAAGCATTCATCTGAGCGGGCTCTGAATCCATTTTTTACTGGCTAAGGTGCACGTTCTTACGGTTCATTGCTCAGTCACATTAGCCAGGTAAACGTAGTAAAATGTTTATCCGGAAACTACCCCCAACTTTATTCTGTTTAAATATATTTATCTTTCTGGCATACGTCCAAGAAATTCAGTCTCTTCGATATTATGAAGAATCGAATTTAGTAAGGGTGATTAAGTTTTCCATACATAGGGAAGCGAATATTTTATGAAAAAATCATTGGCGATGGCACTACTGTCATGAAATTTGTATATCTGATTGCAAGAGGCTCAAATCAGAATCGACATTCTAAACCATTTGCTGAAAATGTAAGGGATTTCTTTCTTCAATTTCGGATCTAAGGTGTTGCGTGCATATGATAATTTCACTGGATAATCACTGACCTTCTAAAATATTCTTGATCCTACATAACTAATCAAATTAATTTGTTTAACCACTAACCTCCCGTTTTACATGTGTCGGAAGTGTATGTACATGATATGTTTTTGTCAAATAAAGTTGTTCTCACAGTCACAACCCAGACTTAGTCTTCTAATATCTTCTTGGCTCAGTGAGTCAGAAGGTGTGTTGTGTCCCTTCCACTGCACTGGAATAAGCCTAGAGCTAAGTTGAATGGATCAAATTGAATCAGATTGCTATCGACTAGTTAAACGTCTCCCCTCTGTTGATGCTTTGGGTGTTTTAAGTACTATTTTAACGGAAACTTATCTGATCGGCTTCGGGCACCATTTTACACTTCCTTTTTATACCGATAATACGCATATCCTTAGCTCAGCCATACTAACTGGATAAGTTCTAAGATCTTTACTACCTCAAAGTAGCTTATACATTCCAATCTGATGACCTAGGGTACTTCCAGAATGTTGTACAAAAAGAACTAGATAAAGTGACTGCTTGGTCGTCTTTATGGAACCTCCAATTTAACCTTAAAAAATCTGGCTGGATCTGCTTCGGTGCACCCTCAGTCGACATGAAGTTAACGCTTCAATCGGCTAACCTAACCAAACTCCAAAGTGTCGTTGACCTAGGTCTGAGGTACTCGAGTAACCTAACATTCTTTGAGCAAGTGGCATCACAGACTCAAAAGTCGAGGATGCTCTTAGGATGCATACTCAGGAACTTTCAAGACAATGAAGCAAAGCTTATTCTGTACAAAACCTGTGTGAGGCCACTACTAGAATACTGTCCATTTATTATTAGCAGCACTCACACACGTGAAAAGCTAAGAATTGAAAGTATCCAACGATATTTTACCTCGAAACCACTTGGCTACGAATGTAAGAAAGACTACATCTCACGGTGCATGATTCTACAACTTGACCCACTCTGGACAAGACGACTAATTATAAACCTAGTATTCTTCTATAAGGTCCTACGCAAAATATCATTCTCAGACATTAAGGACATACAATTCGCACAAGAAGGCTCTTACGATCTGCGTAACCAAAATTGCACAGTAACAATAAAAGCCTTTAAGTCAACACTCCGCGAAAACTTCTTCACAGTCATGTATGCTAAAATATGGAACAATCTGCCCATAGATGTCAGGAACTGCAATACAGTTTTAAGTTTCAAACGCTCTCTGTACACACTATTTCACTCTACCGACTATATAAATAAACTATTTATTCCTAGAACGAATCAACTATTAGTCTACTACAGTACCTGAACGCGCTTAAATACCCTTACTTCTCTAAAGACTATAAATAAACTAGTAGCATAAATGCATAAAAAGACATAGTAGAAACAGATTTTTGTTCATCAAATTACAATGTACAACGAATATAAACAAATATTTCCCAATCCACACACTTTTTCTTTGTCCTCTGGTACATTTCTGGTGTATTTACTTTGTAGTACAAGTTGCATTGATCTACATTCCGACTGAAGCTGAGAAACAATTGAAGTCACTTACTCATATATTATCCCTCAAGGTTTGGCTAGTAATGGCTCAGCATCCTTGGTGAAATCCACTGTCACCATAACTAGACGCTGTACAGCATCTTATACAAGCACTGTCAACGATCTAAAATGGTTTTTATATAGCTTTCTACGTGTTTATCAACTTACTCGTACGGAGCAACCATGCAGTGACAAATGGCGGGCTATGGGTGACTTGAGTGCAGTAAAATAAATCTGCTTGACAATAACCAATATTAATCTGCATTCAGTTGAACTCACATCTGGTATTACTTGCAAAAAAATGATGTCAAAATCATAAAAATGAATCACTCATTTTAAATTAATACCCAATTTGAACATAAAACAAGATACGATGCCGCACACAACAAAGTTATACGGAGGAATTGAATTCAAGCTTTATTTTTTCCCAAATATTTGTAATTTATCCGACACATACTTGGGTGTTTTTTGTTAATGCGAAGACAATATTTCTGTATTTCTTTATGTGCTCCATTGAACGACTAACTATCAGAATGTGCTCACTAACTGATATCAGAGTGAACAGCAACCATGTAATTTCACCATAAATCAAATTCATGTAATTTAAATAATACTTATCCATGCCTGTACAACTGGTGTGTCCTACATTAATAGGAAAAATATATTATTGGTATTTCATACTGTTTAGATATATCGCTCATCTAAGCGAATTTAAAAATAACTTAGTCATTTTTTATTCATCCTTTCTCATCAGGGTATATGGACCAGGTACAGTAGTGGTCAATTGGTTATGGGGTGTATTACGTATAGGAATACTAGTATAGCGTAGCATATCAATCGCGCAAGCAGAACCTTATGAAAGCATTTGAGAGAGAATAGTTGTTTGTTGCATTCCACTGTCGTCACGCCCATGTATTAGCCCACTCCAATATAACAGTGCTTTAAACGAAATATGAAGAATCCCATTCATTTAGAAGTTGGTGACTTGAAAATTTAACCAGCACTTTCATTTTCCCTACAAGTAAACTCAATCTGCTGTTAGGGTATTGGGTTGCTCACGGTTTTCGGCCTTCATGTAATCTAATCCTAATAAGATTTTGCTACTGATATATTGTAGATGAAAGAAGGGAGAACTGCTGATGAATAGCGCTAGACTACGATGTACACTGGCCCTTGTAATTTGTTTACCCCAGTGTCTTACAGTTTTTTCATTTTTGCTAATAAGCTAATATGTATGTATAAATAAATATACATTCAGAATTTTTATGTTTCACTAAGAACTCAGATGATTTACAGGGGTGACCGTAACTATGTAGACTTAATACTGGCGTGTGTGATGAGCAGTTAACTAACAGGATCTACACATGCAAAAAGGTGCTTTTATCCGTCAAGGCTATTTATTGTTTGGTAAGCTAAGCTCGGCAATATTTGGATTATCTACCTCTATTACTTATAATAATAAGATGATAATGGTACTTATTTCCATATAAACAAATAAATTTACATGGAAACCATGTCATTCCCACAGGCGCGATTAAACATGAAATAATTTAAATTCGTAAAATATATATAAATCATTACTGTTTTGATATTTTAAGTAGCTGACATAGGCTATCAGGAAAGAGTCGTATAAATGCTAATTTGTAAAGCCGTCATCAAGGTTGAGTGGGCAACTCAAATCCCTTTTCGTTTTCTACTGGTGACTATACTAAGACAACAACCAACCAATGGTCAGGTAACCACTACATCCACCTGTAGTTGAAAGCTATGTCAGGGAGGGAAACACGTTCTGTGATACAGTAAGGCAAAATAAAGTCAGGAAAAGGTATCAGATGATTTGAAATACATTTACGTAAGATATACAAAGAAGCGCTATGCAATACGTAGAATGAAAATAAACATTTTTCATGTATAGTGCTAACTATATTGGTTGAAACTGCTATAGATTCAACGAAAATGTAATTTCGCTCAGGCAGATTGTTGTTTTCTTTGCACAAGTAGACTCTAAGGGAGAAGGGAATACGAATAAAATGAGTGGCAGGAAAAGCTTGAATAGAAAAGGTAAATCAGAATGTTGGCGCTAAAGTGAAAAATTGTTATGGAGTATAAATTATGGTTTAGTCAGAAGGGGAGACCAAAGATCTAGAAAAGAATAACACGCTGACTTACAAGATGTCTCATGGACGTGTGCAGGATATTCGGGATCATAATATAATGCAAAGTGGTGGTACAATTGTTACAAGAACGAAGTAAATATTCAGTTAACAAGACATCCTGCATATAACACAGACATCCTGCTCTTATTTTCTCATGATCTTTAAAAGTGAGCTCGTGTGATGGATAAGCGAGAATTGTCATTAAAAATCTTTACTCCATCAGTCAGTCCACTTTGTTTGTGATCTTCCTGTCTTATGAGTGGTAATCACATGCTTCTGTCACAAATAAAGAATTTTTCAACCTCATGTAGCTAGTCCCCAGTGTTTTTGAACAGCGTTGATGTTTGCATAAAGTACTGTGTCTACTGCTCCTATCCCTCAACTCCCATACTGCTTGTTCTAATTAGAATAAAGATATATCAAGACACTTAACTGGTCGTCTGAAATACAAGGTGTATTTCGTGGTCATAATCATAGCGCGATAATTGCTTAGCCTTTTAGGGACCGTACAAGATCGAACGTGACACGACAGCATGCTGGGTGGCATGGATGCTTGACTGCGTAAATGGTGACAGTCAGCATCCGATTTTGAGTGAAGAATGCCGCAGACCAATAATTTAGGAAAATTACTTGATGCTACAACTGTTTAAAACTGCTGGTAGCTGCTGATCACAAAATGCTTGGGGTGAACTTGATGTTTTGATAGTCAAACTAATTCTTATTCACATTTTGATCAAAGGCCAACAGATACACAAGTATGTGTTGATTAAAGTTTAGATTGATGTACTCTGTAGTCATTCGTTGTAATCGGTTTCTATTTGTTTTCAATAAATAGTAAAAACAATCTTGCCGAGTACATATGTTGAACATCTGTTCTTTCAGTGCTGTTGTCTATTTTAGCACTATCCAGTCACTGCTGGCAAATTATTGCAAAGAATTTTTAAAATACCACACCATGGTCCGGAGTTCGATCGCCTGCCGACGCACCCCTGATATCTATGGTTGACCTACGAAATTTGAGCTACCGATATCACACGCTGAAAATTCCATACTTGTACCAAAAAATACGGCGTGGAATCAAGCTGTAATAAAAAAAATACTAGAACAAATAATATATTCCTATTGGAATAAACTAGCGTTCATCTGCCTACTTAATTAAACAGAACTACAGGAAACGAAGGAGTAGATATCTACGGGAATCCATCAGAGACTGAGTACCAATCAGTATCACTGAGTAGCTCACGCCGAGAAATCATGGGCTCGATACCAGCTCATCATGACAAGAATGGACATAATTCAATGAGAAGTGTTTCGCTGTCAACTCAGACCATGGCTTCTCCACAGACAAACACTTCCGGCCTTCACATTTGCGAATTTCATAGCATCGACTTCAAGTTTTATCCTTGGTGAATTCTAGACACTTAGATTTTTAGGATGTCACATTGTTATACTGATACACCTTGTATTCGAAATTTAAAAGTGAACCCTGATACGAACTTTTTTGCAGATACCCTGATAAGTTTAGGCATGAAATCAGATTTGTTTCTTAGACAACCAATGCAAGTGAGAAATAAACTCTCTGCATACAGCATGCACAATATTTGTATAGCCATTTAAAAACGCATTTCTTGACTAGCTTTATATTTTACATTCTCATTGAGGCTTCAAGGTCGGTAAATTAACGGTCTTGGCGTCTAACTTATTCTCCGCTTCATTTGGGCTCTTTCAGATTTCTCGTGGCTTAATTGCGTCCATTGAGCTGTGGAAATGTGGTGTATCAATTGTGATATGATTATGAACAATAAATTTTGTTCGAAACGTCACCCAGTAAATAATACTGTTTCACTGTGTGATATACCTAATAAACAAACTAATATGGAATTACTTACTACCACAGTGCCCAAGTTTTACACATATATTAATATGACTTATGGTCTTCCTGTACGAAGACTTATCAATAAACTCACAATTGATATGATTACGAACAATAAATTTTGTTCGAAACGTCACCCAGTAAATAATACTGTTTCACTGTGTGATATACCTAATAAACAAACTAATATGGAATTACTTACTACCACAGTGCCCAAGTTTTACACATATATTAATAGAACTTCTCTATTACCTGATCACATTATTTCCTGCTAAAATACTGCGAAATTACAAAGCATATGGACCTAAGCTAGTCATTAAATCACAGGCTGCTACAAGAGACTTTTCCCTTATTTCAAGGTAAGAACTATGAGAACTCACGTTTCCTCTACTCGCCTGCACAATGGATGGATGTTTGGTAATAACTTCACTAAGGATGAAGTTTTGTCACTTTTCTCATCAAAATAATTACGGGGTTTTTCAACCGATGGTGCACACAAGATAAGGAGACCGCAATCGGCGTTTAGCGTGTACTTGGCATGCTGACCTGCAAGTAAAGTGGAAAGTGTTGTGCAATACACAGACGGGAATTAATCAACTTAGAGAAGGAACATTAGAACTCATAAAGAGGGTACTTTACCAATCTGTTATTTCTCTCGTCTGTTCGTCTCCGTGATTACTGACCACTTACTCGGTGATCATAGCGTTTATAATGCATCCTCAGTTTTGGAAAGACCCTGAGAAGTGCATTAAACCTAATATTCTGCTATTATTATTATTACTTCCTTGAGTTTCGACTGGAACATAGGGCTTCAACATCATATCTTCACTTTATTCTATTTCCGCCGTCCTCTTCAGCCAGGTCAATTATTGACCATAAGCTCTCATTTCCACCTCACACGGTCTTCTCCATGTCACCCTAGGACGATCCACTCGTTGTTTCCTATTTGGATTTGAAGGCGGGACAAGTGCGATGTTTTTCAACGGTCTCCGTAGTGTGTACCCAACCATCTCCATTTTCTTCTGAATACTTGTTGACAAACAAGTTTTTGATTGGTTCTTCACCAGAGTTTCTTGTTTCTTATTCTTTCGGGCCAGCCATTCGATCTTCAGTAGGAAGGCAGAGAAGGCAGATGTTGGTAAAGTCATTAGCCGCCCATTGGTAATGCTTTCCCTGATGCGCCAAGTTTCCGAAACATGTGGAAGAATTGACCTACCTAATATTAGTGTTGGAAATCCGAATTTCGCTGTTTACACTTCACCAGAGTGCACAAGATTTCCAGAGTGAATGTGAAGTGATGAATATCTGACTGACCTTTGAGATCCCGACTGGTTTTGACAACCGCACACATGGTGTCACTTTTGGTTGAAACGATACTGACGGGTTAGAAAAGTCAAGGGAGTGACCTCTTCTCTATATTCACCTGGAGTCCTGCCTTGGGTGTCTCTCTCTTCTGCTAGATTGTCGGTCTTTGTCTGTAAGTCTTCGAGTTTGTGTGATATTAGACATAAATCATTCACGCCCGAAATTCAAATCCTCTAGAGTTTTATTATTGGTTAAACTTATTCCTGTCTCTTCACTCCCCATTCACTGTCTTTCGAATAATCCAGTCCGCCAAAATAAGAATATCATCGGTAATAATAGACAAATAGCCTTCTCTTATTACCGTGTTCATAGCGAACGCTTGGCTATGTTTTCCGTTGTGGATCACCTGATACATGCTCTGTGAGAATGGTTGTTGGTTTTTCGGAGATCGACTAAGAAAAGGGAGTGTGGACTGAAATAACTTGTGAGTCTCGATCCTGACATGTTCCCTGGCCGCGACGAATTGCACACAGGCACACGAAGGCCGGTGGCCGAAATCATCGCTGAACCGTTAACGATACTGTTCAGCATTTCAATGACCGAGTCGAGGTCTCCTGGTAAATAAATAACAGCAACCGGATTGTGGATAATTATATTAAAACCAAAAGTAGATATCATGATAGTAAGACCTATAAGGGTAGCATTATACATTGCAAATGAACTTTGTCAGGCTAGGGATTATAGTCTCCCACTGTATTTCCTTTATGAATTCATCTATTAATGATACATTGCACTTGCCTATTTCATTACACTTTAATGATTCACCTTAGCACCTTTACTTTTCTAAAACAGCTTACTATCCCTTGTAAACGTTGTACTTACCTCAATATTGGTTGGTTATCGTATGCCTACAACTACGGGTTGAAAACGAAATGAAGTCAATATTCCCGCGCAACCTGGAGGACTACTGTACAATTCAATAATGATACGGCCTGGGTCAGACAATGAGTGTATTTATATCAAATATTTAGCGTTCAAAAATTATTAACTTGTAGACAATCTACTATTTGACATTATATCATACTTGATCGTGCCTGTAAAAATGGCATGTATTTTCATGTAAATTTATGTTCATATGAAAATTTACGTTATAATTACTATTAAACCTAAGAGGTTTCGGAATCAATAAAATGACGAAAGATAATATTCGGAAGTTCCTCAGTGCAGAAGATGAAGATTAGGAGTTAGCATGATTTGTTCAATATTGAAATCTTTCAAGATCTGCACTCCACAAAATGAAGAATGTCACAGAAAGGTTTCACAAAATTCACTGTCAGGCCCCCTTTTTATGTCAGATTATGTAAATGAGACACCATCGGCAACTAAGTCATCCACTCTGATGTTTGCCCGTGATCTTAAGCTATGCAAGGATTAGTGCACTGATCGCAATCAACTTGTCCTGCAGAAAATTCCAAACATACTGATTTACGGATGTATGCTTTGGCGTTTGAAGATTAATATTAGGGTGAGTTCGGTTATGCATGTCTCTCGTAGCATAACAATCACTCGATAAATTATAAGCGCTAGGTTAAACTTAAGATAGACCTCAAATAACCACACTTACTAAAAACTTCGCCGCTTTATAACCTTAGCAGTACTCTACCTACCGTGTAATTACTGACAAACGGAATCAGAATAGAAAGACTTGAGACGGAAAGTGTGTCAGTGACGGAGTTTTACTTTACACAAATGAAATATCAAATTTAATAAAAAAAGGTGTTATACAACTTATCTGATGCCTCGAATTGTGGTAAGCTCGAAGAGTGCGCTGAATGAAGGCACAGCTAGGGCGCGAACTGAGTATGTACAGTCGCGTCAAAAATCAAAGGGTGAAGTGGTGCCAAAAACTGGTGAATGCGTTGGAACAGAAGTCCAAAGGTTCAAGGTACACTACAAAGTGATGTTACTCTATCAGTGGTCACTGAATGGAAGTATTTGTCGCTGGTTGTGTAGTGTAATCTGAAGCCCTCTGTAAAGTGTAGAGCAGCGTTGGAAATAATCTGAGGTTGTATGGGCTCTCTAGAAGCACTTTCTGAGCTGAGGTTCGTATATATTGCCCATCACATGATATTTGAAATGTGAGATTCAGTCACCAAGTTGATATTTGAAATGCGAAGCAGGCAGGGTAGAAAAGCTTCAAGGGTTGGAACTAAGTTAATTAAGATACTCAAAGTTTGCGTATGAGCTGTTGTGTCTACTAAACGTATACTGCAATGCCAGTGGTTGGGATTTGACCTTACTCAGTATCCCCTGACTTACGTCGGAGTGCTTAAATATCCTCTTTATTTATCCTGGCCAAGTTAAGCTTTGAGCATCACTTACTACCAATTAGTAAATGAACTTTAACACAACAATCAAAGGAAGGAGGAAACCTTATATGGAAACCATATATTTATAAAAATTAGAGAAACTGTTTGAAAATGTTTCATAGGTTATACTTTTCTGACATGTGGTAAAAACATCTCCCAGTCGAGGATAGGAGTATCAATCAGAAAGTTACACCACATTGTATACATACATTCATCTAAATGACTATAAACGTCTTACTTTTGAGATCCATTAATGGCCCTAATCCTGTTTTAAACCTTCTCCAAAAGCTTTCCATAGAACTGATGTGTGTCCCTGTAATGGGATGTACAAAATCGTTAGATTAATTCACTCTGTGGTGAATATATCCAAGGGATGACAAGTAGTTATAACGTTACCAATCAGTCACGTGTACGATGACATCTCCTCCTAATAACGAGGTGATTCTCTCCATTTCCCATGACGCGATATCTCTACAGTGCTGGTACCACTGAACTGCTGATAGAAGACTTTTTTCTCTGTTTGAGGAGATACTCCGGTCACTAGATGTTCTAAAACCCAGTAACTACAAAAATGTAAAATCTGGGTTAAGGAAAAGTGGGACCTGAGTAATATTAATATCATCAGCTTACCCTTCCTGACATTTAACTCAAATCAAACGGAACAGACTCTTCAACTGACTTTGATGAATCGCACTTGGCCATTCAAGGTTATTCGCTGATTGTTAGTTAGTGGTGTAAAAGGTTAACTTGGCCAGAATAAAGTTCCATTCCAAATTAGGAGATCACTTACTTACTAATTAGTTACTTAATAGTTCAGCCAGACACTTGAACACCGACCCATTGAATTTTTCGTCAAAAGAAAGCGGGTACTTCGAGTCTCAAGGTTAGTTCGGGTTTTTTGTCAGTGCGGCAGCTGTCTGTTGAATCGGATAGTGAGAAAGGAGGTTGTAGTTCAAATAGGCTTGCTCGTATTAAATAACTATGTAGCTGGTTTTACTTGTGTGCACTTTGGCGTCCTTGTTATGCCGTAATTACCACTACTGGTAGTGTTTCAACCCTCATCTGTGTTCTGTTTCTCATTTATAGTTTGCTGTGTTTTGCTTGGCTTCTGAATGTTTTTATTGTCTGTAACAGGACACAGGAAGCGTGCGAACTACGTTTAAGATGGTATATAAAACAGTTATAAATCTGCTGAAAGTATTTCCCCTACTACACACCAGGAAAGAAGGCTCGGTCTCACCGTCTGTAGCTTGGGTATGTGCCCACTGTTCTTGACTCAGACTGAGAGACCAGCTAAAGCTGATATGAAGGGGAAGAGTTGGGAGACAAGCTGTTTGTGGGCCTCTTGGGACCAGCTAGTGACCATGAGTTGTATTTTCTGTGTTCAACCAGGTCCTAATTATCTTTAGGAGGGTTTTAGTCCCTGAGTCGTTCGTAACTGCGATTTTAGGTGCATTACAACTGGAAGCACGCCGGGATTGATAAAATGCTGTAAACAACTACTCGACGTTATTAGTGTCCTCACTAGTGGCACGACGTTCGAGACTGTCCGTGGGTTTGCGACATTTAGTAAGTTAAAAAACCCACAGGGAAAAGCTAGAGCACCACTTAGTAATATGAGTGCTGGATATCCGTATGAAGCAGTTGGCGTGGACACTTTAAGACCGTTACGAGACTGCTCGTGGGAACAAATACATCGTAGTTATGGTCAATTATTTTACAAAAGTGGGGTGAGGCTGTACCCATTTATCAAATCGATGCTTCTACTATAGCTAAATTTATGTTTGATTTTTGGATTGCCCGCTGGGTGCACTAGAAAAACTGCTTTCTGACCAAGGAACAAATTTCGAAAGCCTTTTGGTCAGAGAGATTCGCCATATACGTATTATCTTAAAGACAACGGATTAGAACATCGGAAAAAGGCTCTGTTGTGAACATTTTTGGAAGCGGAGTAAGAACTGGCCTGGGACATCTTGTTACTGTGGTGCCTGTAATCAAACAGAAGAAGCACACACATGTCAGCGGAGAAGACACCTCACCTGTTGTCGACTGGTCGTGAGTTACACTTTCCCAGTGATACGTTAGTGATGCCTCAATGGGGTGGCCCATTGACCGTATCAGAAATGATAGTATGATTGCTAGGAGACATAGCTAGGTACCATAGTTGTGCACGCGAAGAACATGAGAGAGCACAACAGAGACAAACAGTACCACCATAAAGAGGTGGGGAGCACTCATAGATACAAGTGATAGAGTGTAGCTGCGACAACCAGGGGCTAAAAACAGGAATCGAAGTAAATCCCAATTACAGTGGGCAGGCCCGTATGTGGTGAAATACAAGAAGATGGGCATACTGATACGGAGAATATGTTAGCGCATTTCAACCGGTTGAAACGGTCTAAACAAAACAGTCGTCGAGTGTTAATCTTTCTTCTAATAATAGTCATAATAACTGGGCACGCATTTCCTTCCTTAATTTCTGAATAGTAATCGTTACGGCCATTTGATTTGTCTTTCAGGGCTATTGGTGCTCTCTATCAGTTAAGGTGTTGTGGTGTGATTTGTCCTTGCTTTGCGAGATTCTACAAGACTATAGATTATATCACTGCCACTACTGCAGGCAACTTTGGTTGGGATTCATTCGTGAGGATCTTTTTGTAATTTATGCAAGTTTCTGCTATCAGCTAATCAGCAACTTATTAATGAATTAACTCGTCGGCCAGCAAATCAAACATTTTTGCTGTATGGGCTTGTTCTATATTCCTCAGTGTACAGTTAGTCATGGCAACAAGTTCACTGTTTATACAGTAGGTACAAATATTTGAATTCTTTAGCGTGTTCTAAATTATCCAGAAATTATTCGTTTGATTCACTCAGCAACTGTAGCTATCATTTCAAAAAAGTCCTGGCTTCAATTCTAAAAGTAATCATGTTTATCCGAAAAAAAGTACTGATAGCTGACTACTGAACCGTTTGGAAGTCCAGTTCATGGGTGTTTCGAGCTTATTACATTAACTAGTTCGGTAGAATGAAAAATCGCACTTCGGTGCTGTCTTAGAGACGGGATTTATTCTTTACTCTACATTGTGGGGTTTATGCAGAGGATACTTGCTATCTGATAGGATATATGGTATAGTGTGTTAAAATTTGAAGTCTACAAGTGTTTCGTATTTAATAGCTGATTATCGTTGCCAGCTCAGTCGATTGACAAGGTAGAGATTTTAGCAGGCTTTACATCCCTTAAGGTGACTGGAATGTTTTATTTGCTTGTCACTTATGTTCAAAATGAATGAATTTGTTTTCTGAGTGCACTACTACAATAATTAGGATTGCTATTTTCCAAGGTATCAAATTTTACTGCATATTTTTATCACAACTAACACGTTTACTGCTTGTTGAATAAAGAACTTATCTATTTTAGCTATTTCATAAAAATGCAACCAGTGGATGAAGGCTTAGACTATGCCTCACAAGGAATGATGGATGAGGTAGTTTCTCGTTTATATATTACATTCTAATAGGACATTACTTGTGGAGTATCCAGCGAACGTGCTCCAGAACCTCATGCCGATTTCAGACGAGGTAATTGTATTCTTCAGTAAACAAGTGGCTTTATTAGATTTCGGTTATGATCCATTTGATGACGATGATTTAGACTGATGATGATGATGTGCTATCACAAATATATGTTTCACATTTCAAACAGTTATTTTTCATTTAGCCTAATAAAAGATGTGTTTGTATGCTTGATATTTTTCATTGTTTCTATATAATACAGAGATTTGTCTGAACTCATAGTTACTACTGCTTGTTGCCTGGTATGTTACTGTGTAGTCAAGTTGGTGGACGATATAGTCTTAAGTTGCTAGAAGTTTGAAAGGCCTGCGATGTAACTGTTTGGATTTCAAAAACACTATTTAGATCAATTGGCTTGGACTCACTTTGGTTTGAGCGACTAGATAACCCTTATAATGCTGTTGGTACAGGCCTGGTTTGTTGTTCGGTATGAAAAACTCAACATCCTGTGGGAGTAATATTTATGTTCTAAGAAATGGTACGTTTATTTATAAAACCATAGATGAATCGTGCAAACTGAGTACTTTTGATTTGCACTAGGTGAACTGAAAGTTGGGTAAAAGTGATAGTTCTGGTCACAGTTTGGAAAAGACGTACGCTCAAAAAATTGTGAACTAAAAGATCTACCATTCCGAAAGAATGGGCTTCCATGACCAGAATGGCGGTGGATTAAGGATATCATCACTCTCTGACAGATTCTGGAACATAAGCTTACCTACTGGTTCCCAAAAGTCGTCATATTTCTTGACTTGAAGGCAGCATTCGACTTCGTCGACTCTATTCAAAGCACTGTACGCAAACTCGTGCAGTCGTCTAATACTTTATCGGGGGTTGTTTAAAGTAATGAAAACCAGTGATGTCCACCAGAAGTGCTCGTTGTCTCTATTTTGTTACCAGGTAACAGTGTGGTCGACTTAAAATATGCAAATGACGTGGTCTCTCTAGATGAAGACACTGAGAACATAGTATTCCAAACACCTTGAGCAGAAATCTTAGTATGTTTGGCGTGCGATTTGCACCACTCAAATGTAAGATGATGCTACAGGACTGGTCTGAACTGACTCCTAGTTTAAAGATAAGGGGTGGAATAATTGAGTGTATTGACCGCTTCATTTATCTGGAAAGTTGCATCAGCCCTAATGGACTAGTTGCTGACGAAATATCAGCGCAGACACAAAATGCTGGTGTGACATTTGACATCTCACATTATCCCTGCTGTAGACGTGGCATCTAGCTGCTGATGAGAGGATGTATGCATTGCACAGCATCTCATTCTGTCTTTTACAGCTATGAGACGTAGCTGTTGAAAGTGGAAAACCTGAAGGAGACCAGCTGTCTTCGACCACATGTTTGCATTCTATCTCTCGTGTTAAATGACACAGTATGGTGGGGAGTATTGAAGTTGGGCATAGAGTCCTTGGAATGCTAAGAGCCATGTCCATGTTATTATTCTTTCCCACGTACATTTCTGCTCATTATAGTGTATATAATTGCGACGACTCGACAACTGGACTGACTGAGTTTCAACATGGGACTTTGCATAGAAGTGCAGTGCGTCGGTGGCACAGCGGTTAGGACTCTCGCCGACTATGCATATGGCCCGGGGTTCGATCCCCTGCCGACGCACAACTGATATCTATGGTTGGCCTGCAAAATTTGGGCTACCGATATCACATGCTGAAAATTCCATATCTGTACCAAAATATACGGTATGGAATCAAGCTGTAATCAAAAATAAATAAATAAATAGTTCAAGTTACCACACTCCATATCACACACAAAGGTGGAGAAAAAAGAAATTCAACAAAACTATGATGAGCAGAAATGTACGGAAGGAAGAACAGTAACATGGGAAAACATACGGACTCAATGGATGTGGGATATTACAAAGAACGAATGCATGTGTATCACAGAGAACGATTCCGAGCCATATCACCAATAGTCTCTAGCCATTGGTTCCTAGAATCTCGAAGACCCCAAGCAAGCAGTCTACACTTTAGTACGTGGCCCGAACCAACAGTCATGGATTGGTACCAGGTTTTGATTTGACCACCCCTAACTTTTTTACAACCCGATCCTGTCAGCTAAAATTGCTCGTTGAGGCAGAAGGTGACGACTTGGCCTAAATAACGTGTCCTAACCGTCTCAATCTATGTGATTTCATAAACTTGTCGGTTGATTTCCCTTCCTTACACAGCACTCAACGCCTGACCTCACTACTACTCTACGTATTATGCCATTTAACACGGGAGGTAGGATGCAAGACTGCATTGACTGGGAGTCGAACCCGGACAATGTGCGCCGTTTGGCGAACATCCTACCATCTTTGAACCACTGTCGCCGAGATGGAATATTAAAAATAAGCAGCTTATGTAATATAGAACTGCGAAAATGGTCAGTATTTAAGCGGCTAAATGAGAAATTCGAACTTCATAAAGTGAAATTAATGAAGTCAGCTATCATTTCCAGTCATTAAACGTCCTCAAATAAATGATGTTCTTTGCTGTAGTGTTTTCCTCCTACATAATTGCTAAAGTTTAAGGAAAAGTCAAAGGTTATGCGTCTTCGATTGTTATTAAAGCACTACTCTAGCATGCTAGGGGGGACCGTCACGTGACCTGTGTGTTGTTGGGAATCACTAGTCGAAGGATTTCAGTTATTTGAACCTGTAGAAAGTGAAGTGGAGGAGATTACTAGCTTTTACCTTCGAGCGCTGTTATGTTGCTTTGAAGATGTGGAAGATCTTTTCCAAAATGTGTATGGACAATCCCTATATGATGCTAATCAAGATCACACAAGGCAAAAATAACAGACCTCTTTTCATAACTTCTCACCAAAGTTATGGAGGGGTTTATGTGTACAGTGTTAATAACCAACAGAAGTCACAGACTGTTGTTGGTTAGCAACGTGGATGGATCCAAGTGTATGACAGTTTAATGTGTAACTGAGAAAGTGTACTGTTAATTAGTCACGTGGTGGTGGATGGTTATTTCTGGATGATTGGTAGGAAATACACGAACTGCAAAAATTTGAAGCTGGGGCACAAAGGAAATCACACATAATCAATGATAAAATAGATCAAGAAAATAAAATTGATACTAAAACCAAGTTAGTTAGGGTTTTGGCTGCATGAAGAGAGTGTAAGCGAAATCCTTTTGACTGGCTTGATTATTCTTTCATATCTAACTTTGAATGGAGTCTTTGCTGGTGTTTTACGATCAGAAGTAATAATATGCTGCTGTAGAATTGATCTGTTGGTTGTTCTACATCCTTCTTCCGACTACCATTCTTCTAAGTGTTTTCGTGAATGCATGTACACGTGTAAGCAGGTGAACTAGTAAGTATATATTGAATTGGTCAACAGTGGGGGCCTGTCTCTAACATTTTGGTGAATAGGAACATGCTTAGAGAAGATGAGGCATAGATATGCAGCAAAGAACTTTGAACTAATCTTGATTTAGAATGAAAACACTGAATGGCACCAGAGTAGATTTAGAAGCTTTGTGTATGACTTTACAATCAAAGATCAAATAGAACTCGCTTTAGTTAGTATTCAATAAAAAGAAATGCACTCGAATAGATTTGACTAGTATTTTCTTTTTCTCTTGAGCTTTAGCATTATTGATATTTTGGTTTTTCGAAAAGTTAGGTTAGTGACTGTTGAATTTAATTTTTCGTACCTAAGTGTATGTGTACTACTCAAGATAACATTTGGACTAGTTTTTCGTATTAAATTGTGGTTTGTAAGCGAACATGTAGATAATCGTTCGTAAACTCTACGATATTTAGTATATTTAAAATAATTGTCTAAAGCATTTAATCGAATTCTAGATTTTCCCGTCGATTAATTGAACCGAAGTGGTCGGTCTCATGTTGACTTTTCGGCTTCTTATGCAGATGCTTCGACGATGTCTAGGCATTTCACTGGAATTCAATTGGTGGATGGTGACTAGCAGTGGAATCCAGCATGCGCATTTCGTCCTATTTGGGACTCGTCATCTGGATGTGCCTGCATTTCCCAGTGAGTGATGATGGTCCCATCGAGGCTCGAACCAAGTGCCTATAGTTTCAAACGCCAAAGCGTTATCCACTAGACCACGAGAGCCACCTCTTGTGCAACGGTTCGATCCTCGGTGGGAACATCACCACTCACTGGGAAATGCAGGTACATCCAGATAACGAGTCCCAAATAGGACAAAATGCGCGTTGTCCTGGATTCCACTGCTAGTCACCATCCACCAATTAAATTGTCTGAAGCAGTTTAAACTATATCCTTAATGAATTATGTTTTTATCTGCATGTCATATTTGTGAGCTTTGAACATTCTGTAAGTACATTTGCGTAAAACTATATATTACTGATTAATTGGGATGAGTAGTAGTGTACCACCACTCATACCAACCAGTAGTGCTTGCCAGCTAGCCAGATCATTGAGGTGATCTAAACACCGGACGACCGTTCCCTTCGTTTGGAGTCCATCTCATCAGAGGTGTACCTGGTCTAACCAATCTAAACAAGCAAAACGGTCGCGTGGTACTTAGATCACCTCGATGATCTGGCTAGCTGGCAAGCACTACTGGTTGGTATGAGTGGTGGTACACTACTACTCATCCCAATCAATCAGTAGTATACAAACAGTTTCATGCAAATTTGCTTGCTTTCTTGACTGGCATATGTGGTATCAAGCAGCTCACATAATGTGTGTGTATGTATTTGTTTGTGCTGAGATTTCACCTCTTCTAACTGTGTAAATTACGAATTAATTTCCAATCGATAGATTTGATCTGATTCCGTACGTATTTCATGAGGCAGTCTTTGAATTCGTTATACACCGGTAGAAGTCATTTTTCTTTACAATTAATGCATGTGTCTACTTCAAATAGTCCTAATTGTTATATAGTGTCTTCGAAGACCAAATCTGTGTTTTACAGAGGCGTTCTTGTGGTATGTCTCACTATCACGCACACCAAAATCGTTTTTTTTTTATCACCTGCATTTCACTCGATAATCTGTCTTCATCAATTCACTTTTTTATCATCACATTTTAATTTTTATTGATAGCGCTATTAACTTCTGTTAGCATTCGTCATTTGTCTCAAGAAATAATTTCCTTAACATATATATTTAGTCAGGAGTGACGATTAATAGGGTGTGTGAGATTTACTTACCTAGTTGATATTGCGTGATATAGTTAGTTCTATATGGCGTTACTTGGAGACTATCAAAATAAGCAATCTGTGTTTTACATTACTGTCTACGTTTTCAGCTCTGTCAATCTACTATATTTATCATACATCCTTGCACACTTTTCTTGAACTAGTAGTAAGTAGGAAGTCAGTTTGATGTGGATGTCCTACTTTTCCTGTATCTTCTGTTTGTGAACGATACTCACATTAAGATCTTATGTTCTACAAACTTTCAAAGGAGTGTTTATTGAACAAAGAATAATCTTTTCGATAACTTCATCATCATCAGCTTTTACAGTTGTATATGCATAATGGTGGATGAATTAATGTTATTAATAATATAAATGTTTAAAGCAATTAAGTTCCCTTTATGAATTCCCACAAAACAATAAGAAGACGTACTTCATATGAAACGTGTAATGTATTTTTGCTCAACACATTTCGGACATTCTGATCACACACGTACTTGTCATACACAGTTTTATAGAAGGCATGAATCATTGCAATACAGGTCAGATTGTGTGCTCGTCAAGGTCACAAATAATGGGTAGGGAGATGATGCAAAAGTATGGGTAAGAAAGGAAAAACAAAGCAAAGAATGGGTTGAAAATGTTATGAAGTAAATTGATCCTTGGTTCTAAATTGGATTACCAAGGCAGGTTTAAAGTAATAGCAATTGACTCCATTATAGATAAGATTTTATTTTGATAAATCACTCAGTGTTGTACAGTAATATTAACTGATGACAACGTTTCGAGCACAAACTATTGCTCATAATCATATCAACCCGAATGGTGACTTCCACTGTATGTCCAAACACACGCTGCTGAACCTCAGAATTAATCACACGATAGTGACATCGGTCGTAAGCAATTCTATAGAGACAACGATGGTCGAATACACAGAGTCACACACGCACACTTTATTATTCCTCAGATTTCTTCAAAAAGACGATTGTATGTGTACTAGTTGGAAGGAAGTTATTTCTTTGATTGGACTCTAGGTAATGACTAGCGTCATGCGTCTATTCATTTGTTTGGTGCAGACTGAATTCTATCGTCAGTCAAGTTTGCAATGTGGTCACCATCCTAGGTGGCTCACCATCACGGTGCACTCTGGATTGTTGTTACTAGATGGTTGGCGGTGGGGGGTGGCGATCAGAAGGAAGCCTTGCTTTACCTTGACTTCATGCTTGTAGGCACTCGTTATCAGAAAGGTGTATCTGAGGTCTTGAAGAAAGTTATTTCCCTTCTGAGCTTCGAACTCACATCACCCATTTCTGTGGTTCAAGACGTTACCACTTAGTTATTCAGACTCGCGATTGACCTCCTGTATTGGATACTTTGATCGGACACCAGGTAGTAACTAGCGTCATGAGTGTCTAGTACTGTGTTTGGTGCAGACTGGATTCTATAAGTCAAATTTGTAGCAGCACTGAGTGACGCGGGTTCGAAGCTCAGAAGAGAGGTGAGTTTCGTCAAGAATACAAACACGCCTTGCTGACTGGCAGGTGCCAAAAAGCACTTAAGGAAGGCTTTCGTGCTGATTGCCTCCAACCATCTAATAACAGGAGCTCAGGAAGTTATTTCTGTCGGTGATTTCCACACCACCGTACCGTAACTGATGCAGTCTTGACGGAGTAGGCATTGAAAATTCATACAAACAACCGGAAAAACTTCATTTATTTTACGCATGGCTTTCTTATGGCATAGAGAGAAGGAAAACTGTGCCTGAAACTTCAGATATGCCTTATGTAGCGTACACATTATGTCAGTTGTGGACAAGCAAATTGCTGATTTTGAAGTAAATTGCCGTATTATGCTTGTTTCTATCTGCATACCTATATCTGTACTGCTTAATCACTCATGTGTCATTTTTTATGCTTTTATTTTATGTAAACACATGACAAGGAGTCTTGTTTCCTATCCTGAAAATAGTATATTGTATAGAGCAGCTAAGTATATGATGTCACAGTGTGAAAATGACTGTTTTTAGTGCCAGTCAAGACTACGCCCATGTTTATCTGATCATTGATGGACTACAGTTGTTTTTCCTTTTTTTGCATGGAATTCTATGCACAACGCATTTTATTATAGATTGTATTAATCTCATAGATATGTGAATAGTTGTAACGGTCTTAATTTTCCCGCCTCAATATATTTATATGTAATATAGTGTGTGTTCACTGGGGGCTACATGCCACGTGGATGCATAAATCGCCTTCATTCTTCCCTATTGGCTAAACGTATTCATCCTGAGGATGTTTGGCGCGTATTTGTCAATCGGATTCAGGCAGATATTCAGGCCAGCAAGAATAAATTATCTTTATCATCTCTTGGTCTTCCTCCTACCAATTCACTAATCAGCTGTTTATCTGTGATGAGTGGCTCACAACCTCAAGTTGACAGGCAAGACTCTGTAAATTTGATGAACTCTGTCCCATTGGTTGTTAAAGACAACTTTTGTGTGAATTATCAAAAACTACCGCTGAAAACAACATGTGCTTCGAAATCATTGGACAACTTTTGTCCACCGTATGATGCTGCTGTAAGCTTATACTTTTATAAACTTTGGTTCCTACTTGTGCATATTGTTTGTTTTACTGCAGTAGTGATTTGTAAAACTTTCCTTACTTGTTATTTGTTTTTAAATTAATTTTGATTTTCCCGCTCATCGATTGGACCGAAATTTTCAGTCTCGGTTGACATTTATGCTCCTGGTACGGACACTTCTCGATGACGGTTGAAGATTAAGTTGAAGTGATTTGATGGATGATAACATTGCAGTGGAATTCAGGATACACACACGTCCTCCTATCTGAAATTCATCAGATGGATGTACCTGTGTGGTGGTGAGTGCTACTTATAATTAGATTTAAGTAGTATATCAGCAAACAAATTCAGAAAAGTGACAATTCATTTTGGGCACTAGAAAAAGCAACTGAAGAAGAGAACTGCGAAAAACGTTAAAAACACTGTGCAGGATCCAACAAGGTATCGAAAGTGGTGATATTCGACCAATTTGCAAATGATGTGCTAATAATGACTTAAAGACAAGGTATACCGAATGTGTGTACCTATGTAACAACCGAAGAGAAAATCCAGGCAACAAATCGTTTATTGAGAAAATCAAGAGATATTTATATATTTTTATGTACATTTTTGTCAGCGGAGAAGTAACGTCTTCTGATTGTTTGTTTTCTTGCTCACGGTTTGACCGTTTCTCAGAACGTTAAGCCATATATCTGCGAATCCTATTTGTTGCCTGCTGTGATTAGTTGGTGAGTTCCTCAAGGTTAAGCCTTGTTATCGTTTTTCTCATGACCCTGATTTCTGACATAACACTGACGTAAATTGTTACAATTTTGGCTTGCAGCCAGCTCTCGCCACACCTACAATGCGTTTGGCCTAATAAACATGGCCTTCGAGCCTCATCAGTCTTTCATTCTATACACCTGCATTTCCCATTGAGCGGTGGTGTTGCTACTGAGGTTCAAATCCAGAACCCATCGCCAAACTATCATCAGCTGAACTACTTGGGCCACGAGAGTCAGCTCTTGTGCCTCTGCCATCAGTTATTATTTGTTACTAATTCAATTTTGATTTTTCTCTCGATTGATTAAACAGGAATGTTCAGCTTCAGTTGACATATCAGCTCCTAGTATGGACGCTTTGACGATACCTGGTGATTAAGTTGAAGCAATTTGATAAATGGTGACTAGCAGTGGAGTCGATGATGTGCATTTCGTCCTGTTTGAGACTCGTTGGCTGAATGTGCCTACATTTCCCCATGAGTGCTGAATTTGAGTCTCAGTGGGAACAGCATCACCCACTGAGAAATACTAGTACATCCATGTGACGAGTCCTAAATAGGACGAAACGCATTGTTTTAAAAATAGATGCAAAGTTCAAAGTTTAATAAATTTGCTAGTCAGTAAATATTCTATAAGCCAAAAATGCTAGGCAACATTTCTAAGTAACGCTTTCTTTTGTTTTCTTTGCCTTTTACCCAATGACTACTATTCATTACAGGTTGTATCGTGTCTTCTGAAATCAGGTGCTTTCATCATGGGAAAATCTAATATGGATGAATTCGCTATGGGTTGTGGATCTGTTGACAGTGCACTTATTGGTCCTGTTGTTAATCCATGGTCTTGTAGACTACTTCCTCATAATAATACTGGTTATATAACTCAGCTTGTATCCGGTGGAAGTTCTGGAGGTAGTGCAGCTGCTGTTGCTGCTGGACTTTGTCTAGCTGCTATCGCTTCAGACACTGGTGGTTCGGCGCGATTACCTGCTGCATATTGTGGAGTTGTAGGCTTGAAGCCAACCTATACGTTGATTTCTCGTCATGGTCTTATCCCGTTAGTGAATAATCTAGATGTTCCCGCTATCATAGCTCCATCAGCTAGCGATGTTGCTAGTGTTTTAGCGGCTTGGTTATCACCAGAGGATGTTTCTGCAAGAACAGGTGATGCAACATGCACTCAATTACCTCAGTCTTTCTTGAAACGGATTTACAGTGAATTACAAGATGTTGCCAAAGGTTGTGTGCAATATAATAGTGAAACACGTCCTCTTCGGATAGGCATTCCACTGGAGTATCATGTTCCTGGTCTCAATGAAGAGATATGTGTCATGTGGGACACTGTGGCTAGTTGGTTAGCTGATCAATTATCATGTTCTGTCAAACTGGTCAGATTACCTCATACTCCTGTGGCTACAAGTGTGTATTCAGTACTGTGTGCAACTGAGGTGGCGTCAAACATGTCCAGGTAAATTCAAATAATCTTCATTTATTTATTATTTTTCATTCTTTTACGCTCCCAGTGGAACATAGGGCTTCAAGCCAGAGGCTTGAAGTTTCGGTTGCTGTGGTGTTTTATTTCTACAGAATGAAGTTGCTAGCCTCATGCCCAACCTTCCCTCTTTGCCAGTCTTATTACTGGCTTGGCTAGGTTTAGGAGTGCTTTTGCAGCCGGGAATCGAACCCCGGACTAAATGTATGGTCAGCGAGCATTCTACCGCTGTGCCACCGATGCATCTTTATTTTTAGAAACAGTATATTTATTACTTACAATCATTCAGTAAATATGTTTTATTATTTTTTTGATTATAGTTTGATTCCACACCTTATATTTGGTACAGGTATGGAATTTTCAGCATATGATAACGGTAGCCGAAATTTTGCAGGCCGACCATTGACATCAGGTGTGCGTCCGCAGGGAATCGAACGCCTGACCATGTGCATGGTCTGCCAGAGTCCTAACCTCTGTGCCGCCGACGCGTGTACATAACATACATAACCGGTTTAAACCAAGTGGTCGGTTGATTATTTTGTATACAAACTGCTTATATAACTTGATCTCAATACTTAAGTTTCTTCTCTGTTGCTTTTGTACTTTTATCTTTTTCATTGCAGATATGACGGACTGAAGTACGGGTTTTCTTCAACAAAAACGTGTAATAATGGTGGTAAAAGTCGAACAGCAAGAAATACAGTAACACAATATTCTACTACTCGTTCAATTGGCTTTGGTGATGTTGTCCGTGGTAGAATATTTGCTGGTAATTTCTTCCTTCTACGCGATCAACAGTGTCGTCATTTAGAAGCTGCAAGACGTTTGTGGCGTTTAATTAAGGAGGACTTTATTAAGGTAGTGCTTCTTCTTTCTCTCTATTATTAATATGCCATATTATATTATTGTTCCCTTGGGTTCTGAATGAATTGTAGGGCTGCAACAGAATATCTTCATTTCGCTCTTCTCTCTGCGGTCCTCTTCAACTGATCCCACGATTACCCATACGCTTTCATCTTCTCCTCATACAATCTCCCCTATGTAACTTTCGGACTCATGCCCAACTCGTCGTGTTCCATTCGGGTTTAACTCGAAGGGCTTGGCGCTTGATGTCGTTTGACAGTCTCCTCAGAGTGTGTCTTATCCATGTCTATCTTATTTGCCATATCTGATGAGCAACAGGTTCTTGATTGGTTCATTCCCACAGTGTCTTGTTGTTATAATTATTTCTGGTCATCTGATCTGTTAAGTATAGGACGAAGGTAGTTGTTGACAATGCTCAGGAGAAGTTCCTGGGTTATATAAAAGAACTGACTAACTGATTTAATATTGGTGTTGAAAATCCGAATTTTTTTCATTATGTTGAGTGCAACAGATTTCCAAACTGATTTCAGAGTGATGAGGGTGTGTCTTGCCTTTCCGATTCTGGTCTGCTTTGACGTTCTCATCCGTTCTGTCGTTTGTGATTGAAATGGTACTTCCTAGATAAGTGAAGGAAGTGACCTCTTTCAAGTTTATTCCGCCGATAGCGATTGGTGCTGGTTGTTATTGCTGTTGGTTGGTTGCTTGGTTATCTCCATAACCTCCGTCTTCTTCATGCACACCTGAAGTCCTGTATTTGCTACCTGCTTCTTCTTCTAACTTGTTGATTTTCACCTGTAAGTGTTCGAGTTTGTGTGACACCAGACATAAATTATCCATGTGCGAAATCCAAATCTTCTAGGGTCTTCTTATCGATCCGACGTATTCCTGTCTTCTCGCTCCCTATGCATGGTCTCCCGTATAATCCAGTCCACACCAATTAGGAATACCGTCGGTGATATTAGGAAGCAGCCTTATCTTACTCCTGTGTTCACTTCAAAGACTGAGTTTATGATGTACTACCTGCTATTTTAGTGTACATTTTTAGAATAAGATTTAAACGTGAGGTCAGCCTTCATCCTACTGATACCGTGTGACGGTTGATCATCACGACAAGTATAATTATTGTTTCCTTTAGTTCCTAGAGGAACATAGGGCTTCAGCCGCACGTCTCCATTGCGTTCGGTTTCCCGCCAACGTTTTCACCTGACTCCAAGTCTACCCACATGCTTCCATCTCCTCTCCACACGACCTCCTCCATGTCACCCTTGCACTGACGAGCAACTCGCCACCTCCCGTTCGGGTTCCACTTGAGAGAGAGTCTGGCGTGTGATGTCACTTGATGGTCTTCTCACAGCATGACCAATCCACCTCCATTTCTTCCTGCATATTTGTTGCACAATCGGTTCCTGCTGGGTTGGTTCGTTCATTGCCAGAGATCCCTCACTATTGCTGATCTTTTCTGGCCATCTGATATTGAGTATTGAGCGGAGACACGACAAGTAACTGCTAGGATTATTGATAGGCCAAAAGATGGAAAATATAGGCAGAACTCAGATTGTCTTCCTTGCTATCCGGAATATTCAGTTCATTGTTTTCAAAAAGTAAAGCCAAATGTAAATATAAGGCGTATTTGTGTTTCAAGCATTCGTATCCAGTTGTGCACAGTCGACAATTTCTAGTCAATAGATATGATAAATTCAGTTATCTCACAGGCATCACAATGCCCAAGTTGTTATCCTTATGTCAAGAATGTCTTTTAGTTTACAACTATTAATATGCAATTCATGAGTGTTCACGTCGATCGTACAATTCTTCGATATCGTCTACAACTTGCTCTTTTGTGGATTAGAACGTGAAAGGAAACTGGATGAGAACAAGCGATAGCTATCTATGCATTATTGAACATTTGATATTTAATTATATATATATATATATATTGCTTTCGGTTTTCCGCTACACGTCTACCCACATGCTTTCATCTCCTCTTCACATGACCTCTTCCATGTCACCCTCACACTGACAACCAACTCGCCGCTTCCCATTCGGCTTCCACTCGAGTGATGGACTGGCGTGTGATGTCACTCACTTGATGGTTTGTTTTCTCATAGTATGGCCAATCTATCTCCATTTCTTCCTGCAGATTTGTTTCACAATCGGTTCCTGGTTGGTTCGCTCATTGCCAGAGATCCCTCAGTATTTCTGATCTTTTCTGGCCATCTGATATTGAAGTAGTATTGAGCAAATACATCTATTGATGAAGGTCTGTAGTTTGTTCCAAGTGTCCTTCGTGACGTGGCACGGCGCCCAGTCTCTAATCGGTATAGTAGCACTAACTTGACATTGAAGTTGAAAATCTGCGTTTTATTTTTCATGCTGAGTGCTGTTGACCTCCACACAGACTTGAGAATAATGAAAGCTTGCTTTGCTTTCTCGATCCTCGCTTTGATATCCTCGTCAGTTCTGCCCGCCTGTAGTTGAAACGATGCTTCCCAGGTAGGCAGGTAAATGAGGTTGCTTCTTTCAGATTCCTCCCATTTATGCTGGTTGATTGTCTGTTGTTGTTGCTCTTGCTGCTGGCCAGGAATCTTCATCACCTCTGTTTTCTCTGTGTTCACCTGGAGTCCTATCTTTGGTGCTTCTTCTGCCAACTTGTTGCTTTTCACTTGCATATCTTCCAGTTTGTGGGAAATCTAACACAAATATCATCGGAGAGGTCCAGATGCTGAGTTTTTTGTGTGAGTCCATTTTATGCCTGTTTCCTCACTGCTCTCTGTCTATCTGTCTGTCTGTCTGTCTCATTATCCAGTCTACCGCAATCAGGAATGTCATTGGAAGTAGTAGGCAGCCAGCTTGCCTTACTCCCGTCTTCACTCCGAAGTATTCCGTGAGTTTCCCGTTGCTGATTACTTAGCATGCATATATGTATATGTATATAAATAAATATTTCTTTTTTAAGCTCATGAATTTGAATTTCTATTTTCTAGGCTTTTGAGTCAGTAGACTTCATCCTGACACCAGTTTCACCCAATCTACCAATAAGTATAGCCGAATTCACAAAATTGGATAATCGTACTCGCACAACACTTGATGATGTGTGTACAGTAGCTGTCAACTTAGCTGGACTACCAGCAGTTGCATTCCCTGTCGGCGTATCGCCTACTTTTGGTTTACCAATCAGCCTACAATTGATTGGACCGTACTTCTCAGAACCTCAGCTGTTGTCACTTGTAGCAAAGATTGAAAATTTGGCTAATTTCCAACCCTTGGTTGATCATCAGTCTATTATTGATTCTATTTAAGTGTGTTCCCCTCTGAGTGTGTGTGTGTAGACAGAGGAGAATGAAGCTGTTGGCAATTGATATGGATCTGTTTATATTTACTTATTTTGTTTGTACACAACAAACTCTGATCTTGTTTCTTTGTAATTAATTTTTCCTTAATCTAATAAAACTGATCGAGCATTATTCACCTGCTCTCAGTAAATCTCTGTACATAACCTCAAAATACAGCAGTATCGATCTCATCGTATGGTTTCAACCTTTTGCATTGCGTGCTATGCTGCAATCAATCAGTGAATGCAAGCACGGCATATATGACATTGTTTTGACTATAATATTCGTTGTTTTAAAGAAAAAAAATGGAATTCACAGCTTCTGTAAGCAAGTGTCAAAATGAAATTTGTACTCGATTTCGAACTTTTTTAAAAGTTATGAAGTGCGTCGGTGGCATAGCGGTTAGGACGCTTGCCGACCATGCACATGGTCCGGGGTCCGATCCCCGGCCAACTCACTCCTTTACCTCCCTAAGCCAGTAATAGAACTGGCAAAGAGAGAAGGTTGGGCATGAGGCTGGCTAACGACCCCATTCTGTAAAATAAACACTGCTACAGAAACTTCAAGCTACTAGCTTGAAGTCCTATGTTCCACTGGGAGCGTGAAGGAATTAAAAAAAGGCATCTACGAGTAACCTGTACATCCTGCCGATGATTATTAGAGTGTTTTCAGTAATTTTCTATGAATTAGTCTCAGAAACAATCATTATTTCTGCTGTTTTTTCTTGTGAATAAAGCAAGAACAACAGTTTGCACGGAATAAGGTGGTACTATCAGCTGCATAAAGCCGGGAGAAGTTGTTAAGTTTATGTACAGAACAATTTTTAACATACTTGCAAAATGTTACATGATGTCAGTTAACAGGAAACTCCAAAATTAATAAAAAATCCTCAGAAATTACACTTACGTAGCCTATACCCAGGATATTCAAGCTTAAACAATAATAAAAGCTTGCATGTAATGACAAATGAGTTACGTAATAAGGGCAGGAGTTGAATCAAATGATGATTAGTAACTAATAAACTGAATGACAGTGTGGTCAGACCAACTGAAATCATAGAAACACGAGACAAGCAAAGTTACATTATATCAGAGAAGGGAGAGGTTAAAGCCAAAGACTGCGTAATAGAGTAAATACATCCATTTCCCAGTGTAAGGAAAGACTAATGACTTCTTTCTTAATACATATATCGGATTTCAGTCATTTCATAATGACTGTTTCTGCAAACTTGGCGATAATTGAAATATTATGTCTACTGATAATTTTAAAGGACCTCGCGATGTTCACCTCGTCACTCTTATTGCAAATGTTTGTTCCCTTGAGATGCAGGTTTTTTTGGTACATGTTCAGAAAATCGAAAGTGTGGCCTTCTTTCTGTCCTCCTAAGGTAACTGCTACCGCAGATACAGGCATATCTGTATCTGCAGTTAGAGTTAACATGAGGAAGGTATCTGTCGACTTTAGATTGCACCGAAGAACATGTTGTCCGATAAGCGGGAACCAACTCAGCTGCAGGATAGGTTCTGTTTAGTGAGACATTCAACCTTCTGCTAACTATTCCTGTGATATTATCATCTTTAAAGTTGTGTTGAATGAAGAAAGTCTTCTTTTCCGCTGTGATTTGTTTGGTGACCGAGCCTTCACATCTTCTGTACTTGTTGATGAATTTCTGAGGGTAACAGTTGTTTTTCAATATCCTTTCAGGAATCAGAAGTTCTTCTAATTTGTCTGTAAAGCCTATTTTCCTGATTCTATAAAACAGAGTTTTAACCATTGATCGTTTATACCTATTTGAACAAAAACTACTAAAATATTGTCCATCCATGTATGCTTTCGGTGAACTGATCTCTTGTAACTTCCAGTCGGTGCATGGTGATATCTTTCAACTGAACATTTTAGTGGGAACAGTTTCAGAATCAGCTTTTTTTTAGCCAACTGATTATCGGTGTATTCTATTACTAAGTTATGGAATTTACTTCAATTCATGGAAGCTTTTCTAATTTTTTTATTCCTTCACGTTCCCAGTGGAACATAGGGCTTCTAGCTAGAGGCTTGAAGATTCTGTAGCAGTGTTTATTTTTTTTACAGGATGGGGTTGCCAGCTTCATGCCCAACCTTCCCTCTTTACCAGTCTTACTACTGGCTTAGCGAGGTGAAGGAGTGCGTCGGCCGGGGATCGAACCCCGGACCATGTACATGGTCGGCGAGCGTCCTAACCGCTATGTCACCGACGCTTTTCTCATGCATTTAGTCACATATTAGACAGCGGAATAGAAATAAATTCTCTTTTCCCAACAAAAGTTGTTCTTCTTTTGATAAATTTATTGAAGGGGAATAATTGGGAAAAAATAGGTTTGATTAATATGCGATCATAACTTAGTCAATAGAACGTATTGGAATCAATCTTTTGTCATTTGTATCATGAAATCCACAAATGAACTGATTAAAACAAGATATATATAAGCGAACAATATTGCTGTTTTCAATTAGATCTTCAAGCTTTACTCTAATTTACACAGATTTATATATATAAAACAAAGTTTAACCAATGTCAGATAAATTCAGAGTACTTTGGTCCAAATGGGCTATCCTAGTAGATTTGTAAGGAGACACTTGAATACCGTGTATAAGAAAGGGAAACTGACTACGGTTAGTAAAGAAACAATTGTTCCTGAAAGTGCAATTCAGTGGGGATGTAGCTAGTGAAGTTCTACATCTAGAGCCACCCTTTGTTTGTCACTTTTCAGCCTATCGATTATGACTGCTCAAGCGAAAGATAAGCTGTCTAGCTGTGCCACTGTACATTTATGAATTTAGCTGTTCTCACCGAGAAAGCTATATAGGGCAAACAACTAGACAGCTCTACAAATGCATTACTGAGCATCTTCCTTTATGGCTCAGAAAAAAGGCCAAAGAGAATCTATAAGAAGTTCTTTTTTGTCTTGCTTGATTGATAGCGATCACCAGGTGGACAAATGAAGTACCTTCAAGGTTATCTATTGCATTTCATCGAAAATTTTGAACGGAATTCGAATCCCGCCTTTTACACATAGCGGGAGCTATTCAAATTCGAGAGAACAATCCTAGTCTTTGTATACAGAAGGAGTTTGTTCTACCTTCCTTTCTCCCTTGCTCTATGCAACTTTGAATTAAAAAGACCTATTGGATTTTCATCATGAGCTGACATTAGTTAGAGAACCATTGGAAAACCTGGGAGTACTGGACAGCTGTTTCGTCCTAGTTTGGGACTTCATCAGTACGCACAAAACGGGATTCGAACCCAGGACCTTCTGGTTACAAGGCGAGCTCGCCTGTAACCAATCAAATCCCTACAAACCAACACTTGAAGAAAAAGACCTATCCTTTCTTAATTCCCATTTCTTTCGTACTTTTATGATATTTATTCACCTTCAGTATTACGTAACTTTTGAGGTTTGACCTAATTTATATGTTGCGTTGTTTACAAAAACATGCTACCTTCATTATCCTTATCGCCACCTGCATAAACTCCTTGTACTTGATGTCATTACAATCATCGTTATTGCCGACGTTCAGTACATTCCACATTTATTATTATTTTTGATCCACAAACTCACCGTCATTGGTTAAATTTTTACATACAAAGCTGAGTACACTAAAGTTTGAAGAAGATCTACCTGTTTGCTAGCATGTCTGGTTTTAATTTCAACAATGGGAACTGATACTTCATAGTGGTTTACTTTACTAATGAGTTGCAGTGGTGCTATATTGGGAATTACCGGGAGCTGAAAGTTTAATTTTGAACAAGCTGCTAAATAGCTTTGAGCTTAACTAAAACAAAAAGTTATGGAAAGTTGTATGATAAGAGAATGTAACTATTGTGAGTCCCTTGACTTCATTGGTTTTTCTAGTCGATTTGAGGTGTATCATAAAATTAATGAAATCCCCAAACGTACATCACTTGACTAAGAGATATTGAAAGTACCATTCAGACTGTACACTGAGACATTTCACATATTTCATACTATTGAGGTTTTACTTTTACGTCTTAATGTTAAATAACTATAACTACAGTAATAACCATAGTAACATAGAAAACTTATTCTTCGCTGAATTCGGAGAGACCAGATGAAAGCCTTCGGAAAGCTAGTTGACCTACGTGTCCCCTTTCGATAAAAGCAAAAATAAGCATAGGGATGTGAAATGTTTGCTTGACGTACGAGGCTTGAAAGGTTCTCAGGTTGCCAAAAAAAGTTGGAAGATATGGCATAAAAGTGCTGGGAGTCTGTGAGAGCAGGTGGTATAGACGTGGAGTGTCGAAATCGCTAACTGGAGAGTCAGTAATCTACTATGGTCTGGTCGTCCAGACGACAACCACGGACACACTGAAGCAGTCAGTACCCTAATGCAGTGGGAACCAATCTCATCCAGGATCATGGCGGTGAGATTCAACTCAGAAAGAAGGAAGGACGGTCAAAGTTATCCAATGCTACGCACAGTGTTACAAAGATTTCTATAGACAACTGCAAACAGTAATGGACAACATCCCAAGTGATGACACCAAAATCCTTATGGGCGAAATGAAAGACAACTGAACTGGGGTCAGATAATACAGGAAGAGAACTCATCATGGGTCAAGGGGCTATATTATATATACATATATTCACATGTCTAATCAGCCTGTTACTCATGTATATAAACGAGGTTGGGAAGTCGTTTGAGTACCTTGATGTGAATATAAGCAATAAACTATGCTGGAAACGTCATCAACAAACATTACTGCATAACACTGTCAGATTTTATCAGATAAATTCACCCTACAACGGAATTGCAACCAAGGATCTATTGCCCAACAAATATGCCGAAAGAAACGAAGATGGATTGGACACATGCTTGGAAGATATTTAGGTGATATCACGCTCGGTGCAGGCTATCGCTCGACTGGAACCCGAATAGGAAAAGACAAAGATAACATGGAGGAGATGGGCAATTTTTCAGCCAAATAAAATGGGCTTCAAGGAACAGGATAAAGTGGGGGGGGATATGCTGTTGAAGTTCTTTCCCCTCAAAACCCAAGGGAATAATAGTAATCATAATCATAATAATAATAGGTTTAACTTGAGAAACGATGAAGCTTAAGAAAGTATTATACACTGATTTGAAGAAAAGAATCCCTTTTATCTGATTCTCTAAAACAATTTTATGCACACAAGAGGATTTACAATAATCCTCAACTCATAGTGATAACACTTGATTTAAAAAAAATGCTAATTTTAG